CGACCCCGCTGGCCATCCCCCCTCGCCATCTTCTCGGCGAGGGTGGGACGGCGACCCCTCACCGCCTATCTCCCTCTCTTTATTTTTTTTATTAATTTAGTTTATTTTAAATAAAATTTATATTAAAAATCAAATTTGAACAAAAATGACGTCAATTTAGCCACATTCTCGGTACATAAAATAGAGAAAAAAAAAACCACATCAGCATTTCAGTTAGCCAAATTGGATGGAGTTAATGAAAGAACTCTATTGAATCAATTTGACAAAATTTTAGGTCTTGATTGTACTTTTTGCAAGTTTTATGACTCAAATGCACTTTCATGATAATTTTTAGGACTTCAGGTGCACATGTCCTTTTTTTCCTTTTTTACTTTTTTATAGAATTTTGCAGCACTATTCGAGGATGAATTTCTCCACAGCACTAATTTAATTTGATCTACTGAATCGGGTTCGGACAATCGTTTTCCATCCGAAAAGGCTAATTTTGATTCGATGAGCGGAATTTATTCTTAAAAACTTTTGGCGGCCACTTGTTAAGCATATTCCATATAATAATTACTTATAATATAGTGTAATTAATTATACATATCGCTAAAGACATTGTTAGTTTATTGTACTAAAAACAATAAATTTTTAATATGGTTATTTTAACAAAATATCTTTGAATTAAGCCCTTCCTTTTTTTTTCAACGTAATACTCGAGACACTTTGATATTGCTTTATCTTCGTGTGTCTTAATGTTTTTATGTGCATCGTCCTTTCGTAATCATACTTCGAAGGAGTAGGATATGTATGAGTGGAATGAAACTTATCAGAGCGTCGAATCCGACAATCGAATAAGGGTCCTATCGTCTTAACAAAATGCAAGTAGCTATTGGATGTGCATTCCGGGTCATTTCGAAAATACAAACCAATGTCTAGGACAAAATCAATTAGGCGTTAAGAGTCTCGAATGCTCCTTCATTAGGACAATACAATGTTAAGTGTTTGATGAAACATCTGGTCTTCTCCACAGCATCCATGAATGCATGTTCCTCCTTTCTTTGAACTTCATCTTTTATCATGCAAATCAGATGATGCTCCTAAGTGGAAAAATGGAGGGCAATGGGAAGATGCTTTGAGCTGCCCACGTTGTGGAATATTTCGGTAGATATTTTGACATAAGAGATGGACCGAGCACGCATGACGGATCCTCATCTTTCTTCCACAACAGTTGTCATGGCAAATTCAATGAGGATATAATAAGCGAGGTGTTGCGTAGACTTTCGTAAGATTGTGGTCCCCAGGAAATTCGATGGTTTTCGCTTAGTGACTAAAGTTCAATCGAGAATGATCGATAACCGAATAAATTGTTAAATTTGACTTCGAATTAAAAGTAATGGGATTCTAATATGCCTTGAAATCTCAAGGATTATGCAAACCTCAAATTACTAAATTATGCGTGAGCGGTAGATTGGAAACGATAAGGAAATTGCATGACATTTAATTAAATTACACCGAAAGGCTTCATTCGTGGAAGCCTTGCCTGCTCGATGACTGAAGCTGAACATGAACTGCTAATGAAGATAACTGGAGTGTGTAGAGAAAGTAGAAAGCTTAGGAAATATGAATGGAAAGCTTTTATACTCGAAAGTAATTCAAACTAAGGCAAAATCTAATCACAATCAATTCGTTACCAATGATCTTCGCATCTTCAAGTTTTTAGAGTCAAAATCTGATGCACTGTTTGTGATTTTTGATATGTCTTGATTGCTTGTGAGTGCACGTCTTTCTTGATTCTTGATGTATCTTTCAATGGGTCATTCCGTTTTCCGTTCCAATCTTTCATTGCAAGAATCTTTAATTGTCTTGACTTGCGCATTAATATAGGGATGATTTGTAACTGTTCCCGATTCCTTAGCTATTACAATTCCCTGATTGATGGATCCTCCTTGACTCGGTTTTGTACATGCTTCAAGTTAATTGGTTGTCGCTACGTGTCATGTACTTCACTTAAACTTTGCCAAGTGAAAATTCTTGATCATTAGCCATTCCATCGATGGGTCTTGCATGTCAACTTATTGATCTATGAACTTGTCAAGCATTCTAGCGATCGGTTCTTATGGATCAAGTGTATTGTCATGGCCCGATTTGGTCCATTAAATTCTCTACTTTTAGGCACTAAGTTTGGGTCTGGTATTTAACAAGGTGACTACTCAATCTTTTCCCCACCTACATAATGACATTATTAAAAGCAATGATCTTACAATCCACAAATGAAACATACGTTCCTTACAGTCAACATCTCGAGTTCTGTGACCGATCCGTCGATGATTGATGGTCCACGTTGCTCTCCATCAATGTCTCTTGGATACATAGAGATTCAAATTGCTTTATCTGGTTTCTCATGCAATTTGGGGAGGAATAAGTGAACAATGAGCAAAGACAGATTTTACCAGGACAGTCGAAACCGAGGTAGGCAAGTCCGAGACCATGTTTTGCCCGATGTGTGCTTTGTGGCATTCACTTGACAGTTTCTATGTGTCTTTCTGGCAGATCAGAAATAACACCAGACGGGAGAAAACAGTCAAGACAAAGACAGTAGAGCCCGAAGTTCACTATCAAACCTATACGCACTTTCATCGGATTGATAGAACATGCATATAGGAATCCCAAACTAAGTAGCAGATTACCTTAGACTCTGTCTTCCAGAGTTCCGGCGTAACTTGTTATCCATTAGACATCACATACATGTACGTTGGCTTTCGAACCACCGGTCAAATGCAGAGAGTAGAGAAACTCGAAATCAAATAGACTGATAGCAATGTAATGCTCTACATGCATATTCAACCATTTGTCTTTTTCAACTGCTGAAATGTATGCAAAATTCTTGATTACTTATAGGATTAAAGCAGGCAAAAATCCATCAAGAAACTTAGATGCAGGTCCACTTGAAATTGTGCGTAACTGGGCAATTAATGCTGGAACTCTAGAGGTTTAGTCCAATTAAATTTAAAGGGCTAAAGACCGAGGAAGAACAGTTGGACCCTTTCATTGGGCCCCTTGTTTACAACATCGGAGCTACATCATCTGAAGCCCATATGCTTATTTTGTGGACTGCTGTAGCTAAATGTTTTTTTTTTTTGGCGAGAGGACTAGACTAGTAAAGGTTAAGATGCGTATGCAATTGTTATCAAATTTCTTGTTCCTTTTTTTTCCTGTCTTTATTCTCAAAGTTAAAGTACTGCTAATACCAGATGTGACCTCCAAATAACAGGGCTCAAGGTCGGGCGGCGAGACGATGAGGGATAAACTTCATCATTGAGAGGGAAATGTAACAAAAATTGTGGCCTAACTCTATCAATCGAATTGTAGCTACGCTCTGACAATTATCGCTTATTACGGACATCATTTAAGTCGATAACCAAATAGACTTATTTTTTTCATATGATAAATGTTATTTATAACGTACAAATCCGTTATAGTTCACTGGACTGGATGTTAATTACTACAAGGGGAAAGTTGTCCAAAAAATCCTAAATCGATTGCACTTTGGTCAATTCAGTCTTAAATCTTTCAATTTTGCCAATTAAGTCCTTAACCTTTTTACGTTTTGTCAATTGAGTCTATCCTGCCAATTTTAACTGGAAATCGCTAATGTGGACGCCGGTAGTACCACATAAGACAGCTGGTGCTGACATAGACATTTTTTTAAAAAAAAATTAAAATTTTATGAATTTGTTTCTTTTCTTTTTTCTTTTTCTTTCTTTCTTTTCCTTTTTTTTTTCTACCAAGTTCGGTGAGGGCTGGTCGACCCTCGCCGACCACAGGCGAGGGCCGGAGACCCTCGTTGGCCACTAGGCAAGGGCAGGATCCTCGCCTGCAATCGGCAAGAGCTTTGCGGCCCTCGCCTATATCCAATTAGGGTCGGGCATCCACCCTTGTCGGTCTTGAAAAAGAAAAAAAAGAAAATAAAAAAACATTTCAAAAATTCAAAAAAAATTAAAAATATATTAAAATTGTCCACGTCAGCGCCAATTGTGCCACGTAGAACGGCTGCTGCCAACGTCAACGATTTTCGGTTAAAATTGGCCGGATGGATTTAATTGGCAAAACATAAAAAGGTTTATGAATCAATTGGCAAAATTGAAAAATTTAAGACTGAATTAGCCAAAGTCAATAGGTTTAGACTTTTTGGACAATTTTCCCTCACTATAAGCATAGATATACAGGGTACAATACCCAGTTATATATCATTTTCTTGTCTTTCCTTATTTCCTCACGACTTTCAAGGAATATATTGCTATGAACTATTTAAGCATCACTTGCACATTCTCCAACCTTTTGTTGCATAGAGTCCCACCGGACATGTATTTCGACGTCCGAGTTAGCATTCCGGCGAATCAACCCGGCAGAAAAAAGCTAAAGGTGAATACTTTTAAAAAGTACAAAAATACATTTATGAAAAAAAAATAGTAGAGGGACGATTATCAGTCACGAACGATGGTTCGAAGACTATCAGTCGCTTAGTTATCTACAATACTAAAGTCTTCCCTGACTAGCTAGGTTGAGGTAGTTGAGACAATTCTTGTTTACGGTACATATTGACATATTTCCAGGAAAGAACAAAGTTCTTGTGCGATGGACTGATGTAGTTCATACGGATATGAAGCAGCAGCAGCACATAGTTTTTATGGAAGTATCACTCGCTAGTGGCTGCACTGTTTTAACTCTTCTGTGGGTCCAGATGTGATTAGTCTTGCACTTCTTTTGAAAAGTCAGATTGACCTCGTAATGATTAATGTTCTTAGGAATGATATCATGACATTAGGTATCTCCTACGACTTTATCTTTAACTCAAGCGTTCGCAATCCTCTATTTTGAGATATGCTTCTCCACGAAATAACTAAGTTTCTTGAAACGATTTTACTCATTTCACTTCCTATGTACGTAAACTGATTAAGTTTTCATCAGCATAGACTCCCGTTCAATTCATTCACATTTCTTCTGGGTCCTTACAGTTGTGGATTACATTTCCAATTTCCCTCGTTGTCAAGGGAGAGAAGAATCATGCATGCACATCCATATATTACTTCCCTAAAATCCCTACTTCACTCGTGTCTGGCTCGAACATAAATAATCATCTCTTCCTTTTTTTAATCCGCCTTTGCGCCATCCGTTTATCCGTGAAAATGACTGTAGTTATTTGGACCTAGCAGCAACTGCTGATTCAAGAATGGGTAGCTATTGATCAAGTTATACTGCGGGAAGTCGGCCACTTGGCTTGTGGTGTTGGTGAAGCTGCAGTGACCGAGGAGCCTCTTCGGCTGATACGCCGCCGTGTCGGCATCTGCCGTCGCAATCGGACGGTGACGCTTGAGCCTGTTCTCCTCCATGAATGGAGCCGATGACGAAGAGCTGAGCTGGGGCAGCTTCTGGGCAAAGCAACCGTTGCTTCCATTATTACAAGTCCCATTGATGAACATGTGCTGATCATTCATCTCCACATAATTATTGTTATTTGGAATCAATGAGGTTGATTGGTCAAACCCGGGTATGTTGACCAGTTGGGGGTTGCTGTCAGATAGAAAGCTACTGAGCATGGAGTAGTCCAAGGCATCCAATAAATTGGAGAATGAAGAGGACTTCTGAGGCATGAGGCCACCATTGTTTTGACCATTATTAACGGGGATATCTGTTAACGGTTTCAACGTTTCGTTTTGGTGAAAACTACTGAGGCCTTCTTCTTCTTCTTCTTGATCTTGATCAGGTGTGGCCACTGAAGCTGTAGCGGGAGGTGACACGTTGGTCTTCTTGTAAATCCGACACAGAACCCAATCGTCCAACTGGAGCCAAATAATTGAAAGTTAGAATTTCAGTAAAGTCAGGATGCCAGATTCTCACCTAAAATGAGTGTGAATAGGAGAGAGAGAGAGAGAGAGAGAGGAAATGTCAACAGCACACAAACTGGAAAACATCGGCTCTCAAGCCTTTCGCTTTTTGTTGTTTTCTCGCGCGCCTAATTTCTCAGGATTCTTGTAAATTGACGACTTTTTTCCAAACCGACAGCTATTAGATCACTGTAAAGCCTTCTTTGGCAATACAAAGGACATCACCTTTCCATAAAGAGTAAGAACAAAGAACACTTTCGGATTAGGCTAAGCACCAATAAACTGAGATCGACTTCACAAGTACAAAGAGGGTTTGTCCACTAGTAGCACAACTTTCGGGTTATAGTTAATAATTGGAGATCAACTTCAGAGTTATGGAGGAAGCTTGTCGACAAATAGCACAGCTTTTTCTAGGACTTGATGGGTCCAGCAAAATGTATTGGACAGACTCACGAGAACAGATTATGCACAATAGAATTAGGTTGACAATGACAGAAAAAATTTCTTCTCATGTGAAATTAATCGAAGTCTCGCTATTTTAACTATACTAAACTGATCTGCTTATCTGAATTATCTACTTAAGTGCACTTGCATGAGAAGGCTCACCCTCATGGAAGAGTCTTTAAGCTTCAAGGGGTTGGTATTGGGGCGACTGTTATAAGCGGGCGACTCGGCGAGGCGGTACTCGTGCATGATCCAATTCGTCTTGACTCCCTTGGGAGGCTTTCCCTTGTAGAAGACCAGCGCCTTCTTCACGCCGAGTTTCTCATGGTACTGATGTGCAGATGCTGCAGAAGAAGCCACAATCACTTTGTCTGTGCCAGTGGCCTTCCAGTACCCTGAAGCAGCTGCTCTATTGGGCCTTGCTCCATTTGGGTACTTCCTATCCCTAGGGCTGAAGAAGTACCATTCTTTCTCACCAAAAGCTGCTTTAGCTGATCCAAAGACAATCAGAAAAATACAACCCCAAGATTAGTCTCTTCGATATATATTAATGCATGGAGGGTGGGTATAGAAAGAAGTGATTAAAGAGTACCAGATACCTGGTAAGTCCCAAGGGTTAAGCTTGTAGATATCCACCTCTGCTATGATGGAAACAGGGAGAGGTGAAGATGTGACCTTCCTTCTGAGGTAATGGAGGATGAGTTCCTCATCAGTTGGGTGGAACCTAAATCCTGGTGGCAAGGTTGACTGTGGGTTCTTCATGATCATGCTAAAGCTCAAGCCTTTCTTCTAAAACAACGTTCAAAAGAAAAAGGAAAGAGGCTCACAATCAAGCCAAACCCTTAGATAGGGGGGTTGTCTGGGTGATTTGGGAAAGATTTAAGGGGAAATCTTCTCCAAGTGACTTTCTCAAGAAGAAGACTGGAGAGAGGATTGAAATTTTGGAATGGGGGAGATTGGAGCCCATTTTATGGTTGAGTTAATTTGTCGTCACGTGTGAAAAGAAAGGCAGAGAGAAAGAGAGGCGCGAGATGAGACCAAAGCAAGGTGGGGCTACCAGGATGAAGAAATTCAGCTGCATGCTGTGGTGCCAAGTAATTATTCTCTTGTCTTGGAGGGTATTTGGGTTGTGTGTTGGGTTAAGTCTCCTTTTTTTTACTTTTGTCTTTCTATCTCGCATAATGTTGTTAATTCGTTCGTAGAAAAGATGGCGGCTGAACTTAGGATGAGGTTACTTCGACCAATAAAAGAATTTAGGATGAGGTCCAGCCTCTTGACATCATCTTAAAGGAGATAGACACTTGACACGTGCACCTCCCCAGTTTGTCCACATTGTGAGCCAAGAGCCTTTGTGGCAGTCCCCGTCATCTTGCCGTCTACTCGTGCCTCTCTTTTTCATCGTGTGGTATTCGCGGTTAAATCATTATATATTCGGGACACGTGTCGCGCGGAACAGAATCTTCTGTGATAGACGCACTTGTAATGTGATATGTCCTGACGATCTTATCTCAATTAAGACTCTTTCCATTCGTTCGTTGTAATATTTTAGCGTGTTCACGATAGTCACGTAAAATCACAACGGGATGGTACACGATATAATGAAAAAAGCAAATATGTATTTGAATTGGGTGCCGAGAATAGGAAAGATAGGAGACACTGATAAAGGGACAAATAAAAGGACATGAGTTTGGCAATTCTTCTTGCAAGGGGGGATGTATGGTGGCTAATGCTCTACAAGGTTATGGGGTTATTGTTGTGCATTATCTGCATACAATTATAGTTGGACCTTATCCCTATGTTATACGTAGAGTGGCAAGCAAAATTACGGTCATGTGCCGCATAAAAAGATGGCAAAAGTTGGCATATCCTTTTCTTCCCTTGGTCAAGTTACATCCCAAGACCAGCATGCAGAGACGTGTAGCCAAGCCGCACATTCATTTAGTAAAGATTAAGGAGAAGTGCTAGGCTTTTCTCTTTCGAGCGCATTATCTATAACGCACGAGACTCTTCCGTGCATATGCACAACATCTGAAAATCTCCGACACATCGAGTGAAAATTTCCCCTAGAAAGCAACAAGAACTAAATCGCGAAGCTTCCTTTCGTGAACACTTACGACTAACCACAAACCGAATAGAAGAAACTTGAATCCGATGACCATTCGTCGCTTCCGTATCGACAATAGCCATCAGAAGTTCTAAACTACATGTTAGGAATTTGTCTTCGATTGAACAACCACATGTGGGACTAATTAATATCATGGTCCAAAGCACACGACCGTGTCACTGTTCAATTCCCTCTCTTCTTTCATCTGCTTTTCTCAATTTGAGAGATGGATGTTCGAAGAGAGATTCTCCCACAGATAGCAAGGGATAACGACGCTATAAAAAGGAATGGTCAATCAATGAACTGGGGTTCTCAATTCTCATGCTACGTGGAATGGGAAAGTACGTGCGTTTTCTCCTTCGTGGCGAATGTGGAGTTAGTCAAATAATTAGATGCGAAATAAAGAATCTCTCCCCCACCACGCTCCATGCAATCCGAAAAAGTCCTAATGTGCGCCCGCGGGACTTTGTCGTTCCTCACACAACTTCTTCCTTCGCGACTCAGCCAAACTCAAGGAAAAAAAAGTGCGAAAACAAATGGGGTTCCTATTCTCCATGTCTTTATGTTATTTTCCAAAGCGCATGCGCGTCCACGCACCAACCAATCGCTCGCAATCATGGAGGCGTCTCGAACTGAGATACTGTTCCTCTTTTCAGGATTATATTATTAATCTATTGGGATGTTAGGTCCATCCTATTCTGTCCCATAGTGGTTTGTGGTTAAAAGTCCTGGAAAAGTCCACGAAGCAAAGACCCAGATCCGCATACAATTCACTCCAAACCATATATTATCCCAATTCAAAGTCCCACACGGTATAAGAAAAACCCTAAAAACCAAATATTTATTAGGGGTGAGTGACCGGATTGGTTTGATCGGGAAACTGGCCTTACCCACCCAGACGATTCAAGGCCGATTTCACAAGGAAACCAGTCCCCGGTTCCTTCTTTCAAAAACAGAGAACCGGAGTTTGACAGGTTCGAATTCCGAATTTATACCCTGATTGACCGATTCTATGTAGGAACTCGAAACCCAATCGGTTTGAATAGATTTATCCCTAACCGTAAGTAAGTTCTTTTACTTTTTTCTAAAAGCAAAAATATATATGTTGAAATTGAATACGTTTGACATATTAATCTCAAACAGAAAGAACAATATTCATGTTTGATACAATATAAAATGAAACAAATAAAAGAAGGAAAAAAAGGAATTGATTGGTACTTAAGTTGACTGGGGAAACTACAAAAAAAGTCCTAAACCTATTGCGCTTGTGCCAATTTAGTCATAACCCTTTTAATTTAGCCAATTTAGTCATATACCTTTTGACAATTTGCCAATGTAGTTATCTGGCTAATTTTGGCTGAAAATTGTTGACGTAAATGCTAACCGTCCTGCCTCTGCGAACGTAGACAATTATTCCAATTTTTTTTTAATTTTTTTTGAATTTTTTCTTTTTCTATTTTTTATTGTGGCCGGCAAGGATTGTCTGGTCCAAGCCCTCCTTGGTCGCAGGCGAGGCGACCCTCGCCTGTGGCCCGCAAGGACGGCCTCGCCTAGCCTTCGTCAGCCATTGCCAGAGATCGGCCACCAGCGATAAGGAAAGAAAAAACAGAAAAAGGAACAAAAAGAAAAGTTCAAAAAAAAATTAAAAGTCATTTCAACGCCGACCACGTCACATAGGATGGTCGGCGCTGACTGAATCACTACGTCAGTGTTTTCTGATTAAAATTGGCCGAAAAGGACTACATTGGCAAATAGTTAAAAATGTTGAGGATTGTATTGACACAATTGAAAGATTTAAGACTAAATTGACACAAATGTAATATGTTTATGACTTTTTTGGTAATTTTCCCTAAATTGACCCTAGAATGGCCGGTTTGGTTCCCGGCCAATTATAGGACCAACAGGATTGGTTCCTGATTCCTAAAATTGGGAACCGACGCCAACCGGGTAGGTTCAATTTTAGGTGTAGAGTCTATCCACCCTGAAACCAATCACCCTTACTATTTATCAAAGAAAACAACGTAACGAATTGCTAAGAAACTATACGCACTTGACTCGCTGAAGATTATGACGGACATAAAAGCTTAACTTACAACTGATATGAAATGCGTAGATAGTCGATTTGATAGAAACAAGACGGTACTGAACTTGGCGTCCTAAATTAGAAACATGAGCTGCAATAGCCTGTACCCTATCTGGTTCCAAATAACTTGATTCCAAACCGTGAAAAGAAAGTAAAGAGTAAAAGGGTATCGGTAAGCATTGCTGTAATTGTAGCCAAAAACTTGTATTCCCTGAACAATGCGATTGGGTAAATCTACAATTGCATTGCGCATCACCAAAACATTTAAAACATGGAAAAACCATATCTTTTATACTGTCGAAATGAATCCATTTCAGCTGTACACAGATACCTAAAGCTCCCATCGGCCCAAAAAATAAAACGAGAAAGAATAAAGGTACCCGTTTGTTTTGCGCGAAAAGGAAAAGATAAAAAGAGGAAAATGCGGCACGAGAAATGACGGGTTATACGGACCAGGTATACCATGTCAATCACCTCGAAGAATATTCTGACTTAACAACTAAGGAATAGGACACAAAAAACATATAAAAAATTGATCTTGGGCAGCATTCCAAAGACATGGCATATAACTTTTCCAAAGTGGGAATATTCTTTTCATCGGGCTTCCAATTTGTGTAACGAACACAATCCTTGAATTTCCACAGGGTGAGGGGAGGACTAGCGACGGGCCGATAACGCCAAGCGTGGCGGTTAACCGACGGTGTAAAGCTCGCGGGATCCGACAAAGCAAAGATGGGGGGAAGAAGGGAAAGGACAAACGAGGGTGTGGTGAAGTGGCCGATGAAGCATCTGCTGAAAAGAACGACAGCTACCTTCGCACGCACGCACGCACGAATGAGAAGGGAGAACAAGAAAGGTTGATGATTATCCATAACTTCTTGGACTTTGGTGATTATCCAGTCCTGGATTCTCTTTCGGTTAGGTCCAAGAGGCTTTTGCTTTGCATTGATTACCCTCGTCCTTGACGTATTCTACTCCCCTGCAAAATATATATTTAGATATATAAGATTAGGATAATGTCATGAGTGATGCAATGTACCTTGGAAATTCCACAGGTTGTTCACGCCACCTCGCCTCCTTTTCCCATGCACCAGGTAGCTTGTTGAGGTTGGGTTTCCAGAATGGAACACGTGATGGATATCCGGAGTTTTATTCTATTATTGTTGTTGCCATGACAGAGCACGAAGTCCGGGGCCCTTTTCGTCTGCGGTCCAGCTTCTCAGGCATAATCAAAGGAGGAGAGAAGAACCGAGAAGAAAAACAAACTCAAACAACCACCTGTACATGGAAAGGAACATGAAGACTTTATCAAAACAGCTCGAGATATTTGATAAAAGTGATGCTAAATTGGTCAAAAGAAGGCTCTCCACTTAGTTGTGGGAAACTTGACTTTTTTCTCTTCTTTATTTTTTTAAGCCTTACCGGGTTAAAGATGCACTAAGGACAAAACTAAATGGAAAATCATAACAAAGATGCATTACTTCCTCCTTTGTCTCAAACCCTTTACCTATCTCTAGATTGAAAATTGGCCCCATGAAGAACCAACTTTGTCACCACACTATCAACCCACTTTTCTTGCTTAAAAAGCAGAAATTACCAAAGGAAAAGGACGAAAAAAACTGAAACCTCTAGTCACCCCAACATGTAGTTCTCAGAATCTTTCCACAATTCTAAAGTTAAAGCCAAGACATGCACTATCAGGGCCATGATGGCATTGAACTCCTAAACCGGCCTCGCATGCTGTCTTGACAGTAACAGAATCGGTGGCAGAACTTGTGTTTATCACCACGTAGTTAGACCAGTCAAAGCATATAATAGTAGCCCAGGAATATGAGCTTTTGAGTTCAAATAGTCCAAAAAGTCTCGATTATGACATCCAGTAGTTTTCCACGTGTGGTTCACCTAATCTAGTGGCTAGTAGTTATCCAATGTCAAATGGTGATGCACCTGCTTTCGCCCTTGAGGTGCACAGGAAATTGTGATTTTGACCTAACCTTAGATGTTATCTCAAGGGCTCCCAATGAATCATCCTCATCTCTTCCAGCCTCTGATAGCAAAATATTCTCATGACACAACCAATGGCATGAATGACAGTATAGAAACTCGTCACCTAAAAGATTGAGAGAATTGAGATCTTGGGTTAATTCTTTCTAAGGACGGTAAAATCATCACAATTCTGCCACAAAACTGAATTCTTCCTGAGGGCTGATGAAGGAACAATTCTTTCTTCACACAAGACGCATGTTCCGAAAGTAGAGCAATCTATAGCAGCAAACAAACAAAAGATCTTCTCCGGCTTTATCACCTATTTAGAAGATAACCATTTTCATCTGGTAAGAAGTTTAGCTAGATCAAATTTTTTTTCCCTCAAAAAGAAGTCCATTATTCAGTGCAAACAAGGAACAAAATAAGTTTGATCCTAATTTGAAAATGGTGAACTGATGGCGGTGGACTAGTCAGTAGCTCAAAGCCCACCAGCAAATAGTGATGAAATATCCGATTGGTGGGGATGGCAAAGAGTAGAGGTTGTCAACATATATGTACACACACGTGCAGTGCAGGTGTGGTGCATTATTTCTGGTTTCGTCTTGCTTAGCACAATCAATGGAAACTAGTCAACAGAAAAGATTTCTTTGTCAGCGGTGAAATGCTTGAATTTAGCATTTTAGAAAATTTTCCGATTTCAAAAGGATGAGTTAATTTTCATACTATAGTCTTGCATCCGAGTACATGTTATTGTAGACTTATTGCTGAAGACTGTTCGTCACCACTTTGGGCCAATTAACTTGCCATCATTACACTACCCCCACCACATGCTGGGATAAGTAAACCGTTGTTGTCTTCAAAATCATTGCAATCTGTTTTTGCTTCCAGGCGTCCCTTTTGGTATCGAATCTACCAATTCATTCCGAGAAATATGGACAGAACAGTCACGCCTGGGAATTTGAATGAAACTGACGGATGTTACCTGCATTAGTTCTCAGACCTGACATCCCACAAGTTGTTTATACGTTGAATGGAGATTTAGCCTTTTTAAATACTCTGATACTCAGAAAACATTTTCCAATTGATAAGATATTAATGATTTCTTCTTCAAAGGAATGAAAGGCTATAGATCGATCTCCTTAAAATAACTGGTTGGTTTAATGGTCTACTTATCATGCTCTGGAAATGGAAACCGTGCATCGCTCTTATCCAGATGGTATTTTTTTTCCCATTACAAACAATGGTCTAGCATCCATTAAATTTAAGGGGAAAAGTATTTGAAGATGATAGGCATATTGGATCAATCACAGTTACCTTTGGTCAATGGGCAGTTTATAAACCTCAAGACAGATCCCACTTCTAGAGCTTGAATTGTTCTGGTTCTTCACTATGCCTGAAGAGGACGACAATTGCTCAGACAGTGCACTTGCTTAACAAGAAGCTGAAAAATTCTCAAAGTTGTTGTCCTTAGGGAAAAGGCTTTTTATCATGCAGCAAGAGGGCAATGAAACCATTAAACCGTAATAACAATCAGAACTCCATTAGAGAAAAGTCTCACTAGATATCTGCAAGAGGTACACCTGCACATGAGTATTAACCAGTGCCCATGACACTTGACAAGCATCATCCAAAGTTCAACGTCGTGTGCTTCAAGTGCGATGCACAGTGAATTCATCTGAGTTTAATGCTCACCAGACTACTAAAACATCGGGTGGAATAATTAACAGTGCTTCTACCATCCTCTACATTCCATGTTACATGCACATGTTAATGTCAGCCACGCACACACCATTCAGGGTGACAGAAGGTCGGTTGGGCTCAGGTTTGCGAAAAACATGAAAGGAACCCTATTCATTTCTGAACTCCCATTAGCCATTACTAGATCACCCTGAACCAAACACTATTCACTGAAAGAAAGGCGGACCAAAAGGCCTGTTCTATTTGGTGGTTTCAGCATCAATATACTCTTATATTCATTTTATTAAGGCTGCATTTGTTTCGCGGAAAATGAATGATTTGGAAAATCTTTTCCTAAAAATGATAATTGTGATCTAATTACAATTTTAAGCTTATTGCATGTAACTACAAAAAGTACAAAATAATTATTCAGCTAGGCCTTATAAGCTCAGTTATTCAGGTTCTCTTAAAAAACTTGAAACTGGATTTAAGACATTTAAGAAGCAAAAGTAAACATGAGATTCACTCAAATCCTACTGAGACCCATATTTAGCTTGGGATCACTCTGCCCATCTCAGTTTTACAGCTCTGCCAATATTTGGATCACCTTACCAGGTCACGCCGAACCAAACACTGTTCACTGAAAGAAAGGCGAACCAAAAGGCCTGTTCTATTCGGTGGTTCCAGCATCGATATACTCTTATATTCATTTCATTAAGGCTCTGTTTGTTTCGCAGAAAATGAATGATTTGGAAAAAAATTTCCTAAAAATGATAGTTGTGATCTAATTACAATTTTAAGCCTATTGTATGTAACTACAAAAAGTACAAAATAATTATTCAGCTAGGCCTTATAAGCTCAGTTATTCAGGTTCTCTTAAAAAACTTGAAATTGGATTTGAGAGATTTAAGAAGCAAAAGTAAACATGAGATTCACTCAAATCTTACTGAGACTCATATTATGCTTGGGATCACTCTACCCATCTCAGTTTTACAGCTCTGCCAATATTTGGCTCACGTTTGCCCGTTCTCAGTCTCTTCTGTGTTCAGATGTTTTCAGCAAGACCAACAAAAGTAGATGGAATGCAGCAAATAAAGAGTGATACATTCGCACAACACACCACCAGATCCGATTTTTCATAAAATTAAATGATTTCCTTCTAGTGCATCCATCACATATAAGGCAACATCCACGCCTCAGAGATCCAACATTTTCATACTCACAAAAATAGTCATGACAGTAAGTCTCCCTGACTTGATGACAATCACCAGAGGCTAGGAAATTATTCCCATTTTAACTTGCTATTTTGTCGAGGGGGTATACATTACACGATTAACCAGAGATAACATTGAGGGAAAAAAAAAAAGACACAGCTTCAGGTTTACTGCACCTTAATTCGTTCTGAAGAACATGACTAGCTCCAAACAAGTTTTCCCTAAACAAATGTTGTGGTGAATCCAGCATGAACTTCCATGGTACCTTGACATGTATGTTGCAGACCAAATTTTGCAATGGAAAAAGGAAGTCCCATGCAGAGCATCTAAAGTTCCAATAACAGCAACTATGGAGGAAGATGCCTCGCTGTGTCACATGGGCTTATGTAAACACAAGGGGCCACAACAAATCAAACATTTGGAATTTCTTATATCCAGTACTTGTTGCAGGGTAATTGCCAAAAGAATATGGGATTCGAGGGGAAATACATACATGAATACTATCAGTTAGAGCATAAGCACCAGAAGGACTAACTTGCTTTTGGCCTTCACTAATGGTAATCATGCAAAATTCAAACATGAGGAATGTACAATCAACTGCATAAACTCTTAACAACAAATAGTACGCCTCATAGAATTCTTAGTATCTTCCGAAGTGTCTAAAAGATGAAGTTTGTAGACTACCTTTAGAAATGTCTGTATACAATGCATTGACAGCATGACCGAAGATACCCTATCCTAGTGCTCCCAAAAAGAATATCCCCGCTCTCTTACAACTCTTCTCGACTCAGGTTGACGAAGGAAATCCGATTCGTGATTGAGTTTTCTGGAGGAAGCTTGATCCAAATGATTAAAAGGTGGCTGATTCTCCACCGTACTAATCTCTGTTACTTGTTTCCCAGACAGCCACGCTTGAAGCATCTCATCAATTTTAGGCTCGGGCAAAAACTGCTTGTCCTTCATCTCCAAATAATATCTGTGCGCTTCCTCCAACTTTCCATTCAGAAAGAGTCCATGAATCAACACAATATAAGAGCTGCGATCAGGACTCAATCCATTCTCAGTCATTGCCTTCCACAGCTCAAAGACATTATCAAGTTGGCGCCATCGACAAAACTTTCGGATCAACATGATGTAGGTATCATAATTTGGATGGCATCCCATCTCCTTCATTTTTGTTAAGAGCTCAAAAACTTCTTCCCCTGTCCTAAGAATACGTAAAAAGGCATTGTAAGTTCGAATGCTAGGGTGAAGCCCCCGCTGCAGCATCTCCTCAAAGACCTTTTTAGCTCCATCGACATTCCGGGCATTACAAAGAGGCTTGATCAACGAATTGTAAGTAACAGCATTGGGTGCAATACCTTTATCATCCATTGTTCTCATAAGATTCACAGCTTCCTTCACAAGCCTACCCTTTGCAAGAGCATAAATGACTGCATTGTAAACTTTCCTATCCGGAGCAATCTCCAACTCCTTCATCCGGTTAAAGAGCTTAAGCACCATGTTGAGGTTCCTGGACTTCGAATAGCAAGATATGAGACAAGCATACGAGACAACATCATGCGCTATGCCTCTCTTGCTCATCTCTTTCCAAATTCTCTCCCCCTGCCGAGGACTAATGATCACATTACACCAGCCATTGAGGATTATATTCAAGCTCTTCGTATCGAGAGGGAAAACACTCTTGTTACAGAAGAGCAAGTGCTCCGCGTCTTGCACGTTCTTGTACCGACAAAGCGCAGAGAGGAGACCCTGAAACTCCTCAATCCCGACATCGAAATTATATCTTCTATGCGCGTAGAAGGTATTGATGGCCTTACCAACGTTGTGCACTGCACAGTATCGTCTGATCATGATCAGTAGAGTCTGAGGGGTGATGAGGCAGGGACGATCCTTGCCTCCTCTCATTTCGTCGATCAATGCCCAGGCAGTGTCGAACTTCTTCATCTTCGCCAAAATAGAGATCATGGAGTGATATTCACGGACCGAATGGGAGTAGTCCCGTTGGTTCCCAGCCCACAGGAAGAAGGCGAATGCCGATTCCCAGTCATTCCGGACCTGCGAAAGAACCTCCACCACCAATTCCGACGACGCGGCAACTCCACACCTATCGAGTCTGGACGCCGTTTCCACGCGACGGGACGCCGTCTCGCGTAACACGTCCACGACGGACTTCGCATCGCGAGCGAGAGCCTCGCTCACCACCTTCCGCTCCCGTAAATCAGCCTCGCAATCCGAGACTCCGCCACCGTCCTCGTCTTCTTCTCCGTCGCGAGAGCTGCCGCCAAGATCATCGCGAGCTGCAAAACGCCCGGGAGCCGCCGGAGACGCGTGGTCGGAGTAAGCACGAGCAGGAGACAAAACCTCGGAGACAGAGACCGGGGGACCCGCGCGGTCGGAATCGGCCGAAGCAAACGACGCAGGGGCGAACGCCGGCGGGGGGAGGGCGCGCCTCGACGGACCGATTCGAGCAGAACTGCAATGGCGGCGAAGCAGGACGAAGGCGCCTAGCGAGAATCTCCTTATCATCCTGACGCGAAGCGAAGGAGTCTCGCATGCATGGCAAGTGTTTGATAAAAGTACCGAAGCAAAAACTTTGACTGCCTCGTCAACGGACAATAGAGTGAACTATCTAACGGACCGCCTCGTTCGTTACTTTTATTCTCCTTCGATAATCATTGGAATTCTCAAATTTGGAGTATACTTCTTTCTTTTTAGGGTTAATACCGTAAAAAAATCCTAAACTAAAGTGGTATATATATGTGACAAATTTATCCAAAATTAATTTTCTGATCACCAAAAACCCCAAACTGGTACACTTGTGACAAATTTACCCTCCGTTAGTTTTCGTTAAATTTTACTGTCAAATTACCGAGTTAAATAACACGCGGCAATTGACGGATGTACTAGTTTAGGGTTTTGCACATCTGTTTATCACAAGTTTACCGGTTTATGATTTTTCGTGATATTAATCAAATTTAACGGAGAGTAAATTTGTCACAAGTATATCAATTTGGAGTTTTTTATAGTCAAAAAATTAGTTTGGGTTAAATTTGTCACGGGTGTACCGGCTTGAGATTTTTTGTGGTCAAAAAATTAATTTGAGGTAAATTTATCATAAACGTACTAGTTTAGGGTTTTAAGTGGAATTAATCTTTCTTTTTATCTTGGATGAACCGAGCCAATAGAAAAGTTATTGTTAAGTGCCTGAAGTGAGAAGCGAAAATATTCTGTTAAAGACGTTCCTCGGTAATATCATTACGACTCTCAAAGCCACGCACGGTCGCAATATCAAACCCAATACGACGAGTAGGGCCCCCTAGGAAGGCGGCCTTCTTCGCCTTCCACCAAAGCTGCGCAGGAAAGGCCCAATTTCAATCCCAGGGAACAATCTTCATAGGGTCTTTTCTGTCTAGGTGTAGGTCATCCGAATGGGCCAAACGGAGTCATTTCTCAAAAACAATAGCTAAGAGCCACTTGGATCTAAAACCTACATGTTGATACTCACCATTTCGATATCAAATCCAATACGACGAGTAGAGCCCCCTCGAAAGGAGGCCTTCTTCTCTTTCCACTTAAGCTGCGCAGGAAAGGGCCATAGTCAATCCCTGGGGAACAGTAAAGTTTCATGGGATCTTTCTCTCTAGGTATTGATAATCCGCATGGGCTAAACCGGATCACTTCTCAAGAACAATAGCTAAGGGCCCTGATATTACCACTTGGACCTAGAATCCACGTGCTGATGCTCGCGATTTCGATAGCCATACTAATGATATGGAGGTTATCTCTCGAGAAGTATTTAGTTCTAGTATTCTTTATTTGACATGAATAGTTGAACTCCGAAGTTTCGAAGCAAAAAATTCAATTTAAATATTTTTCTATTTTTTCAATTGTTATCTGTCAGAAAAAAAAATGAAAAGTGAATTTTCTATTTTTGAAAGAAAATTCAATCAAAAGAAAGAAGACTCAAAATGAATGTATGTTTCTCACATCCATTCTTCACCATCCTATTGTTGAAAAAAAGAAATCGTATGTATCGGTATCCAAATATTTGGATTTAAAACACGAATATATGATCCGATAGATCTATCCTATCTATAGAAGTGGATCTTGTGTTCTGAAATTAAAGAAAGATATTGAAAAAGGCTCTTGTGTTGTGACTTTTGGTAAACCTTTCTTTGTGAAGGAATCCTCTTCAATATCCTACAAACAAGAAAATGGAATCAGAGATGTCTGACATATTCTTGCGGAGTCTAAATAAATAGGAAATAAAAAAAAATCCACTCTTACAATTTAATCTCTATCGAATTTGAATATCAGAATAGTGGATATAGTCATGATTCAACGAGTTAGGTCCACTTACTTGTTCATTTGTTTGTTGATTTCTAATTTTTAAAATAGATTTGATTGGAATAATGGGAAATAGGAATAGTTGGCAATTCAAGAGACAGACTTTATCATTATTCATTATAATAAATGTAAACAAGTTTTCCGCTTTATTTTATAATTATAATTACTATAAGGGAAATTATGTAAAAGCAACGGGAAGAATTGTTCGGGTAAGTGAGGCTTATTTGGGTCGTGTCATAAATACCCTGGCCAAACCTATTGATGGTCGAGGTGCATTTACGCTTCTGAATCTCAATTGATTGATCTCACACTCCAGATATTATTTCAAGACATTTCGCATACGAGCCTTTACAAATTGGACTTCTTGTTATTGATTCGATGATCCCTATAGGTCGTGGTCAGCGAAAATTAATTATTGGGGATTGACAAACCCATAAAACAGCAATAGCCACAATTACAATTCTCAATCAACAAGGTCAAAATGTAATATGTGTTTATGTAGCTATTGGTGAAAAAGCATCTTATCAGGTAGTGAAAACTTTCCAGGAAAGGGGGCTATGGCATACAATTTTGTGCTAGGCGAAATGGCGGATTCCCAAGTTACCTTACTATCCCTCGCTCCTTATACAAAAGCACTTCTCGCTGAATATTTTATGTTTCATGAATGACACACTTCAATAATTTAAGATGATCTCTCCAAACAAGTATAGGCTTATCGCTAAATGATTCTTCTATTACAAAGACCACTTTCCGAACCAGCTCAAGTACCACTTTAATAGGCGAACAGCCCAACCCTTGGAACATACTATAGCCCCAAGAGACAGAGAGCCAACATCAACATGTCAAACCTTCCCGTTGATGTGAACTATCGGGAAAGATTAGCCTGATGTAGCAATGTCTTGCTGGAAACCTAGAGTTTCTTTTTTCACGACAAAAAAAAAACTCGAGTTTCGAGTTTTTACTTGATCTAGAATGTGATTTATGTGCCACTTCAAAGTGATCTATTAATTTGCTAATAAGTCTTTTAATGGCAATTCCATCTAATACTTTATTGTGAAAGACTAGATTGACTCGTTTTGCCATAAGTACTTCCATATTCTGCTGAGAGGGATTGACAATGAGTTTGAGTCATTAATTGGAAAACTTTCTTTTCTCAATCTTAATTCACATAGAATTTCAAGAATTAGGGTCCTACTTAAACCAGAGAGGCCCGAAACCGCACTAGTGTCATGGAATTACTTAATTTAGATACCATAAGTACCAAATGAGCAGGCTCAACAAAACCCACATATAGCTTCTTCGATTTCTTGAAAAAGAGAAATATAACTGACGGTTGTTTGACGGGGTGGTTGGAACAAAAACACATTTGGTTATGAATTCCTATTTGACAAATAAAAGGCATATTCAATCAAGAAAGAGCCCATCGGCACCTGCAATTAGTTGACGAAGGTAACCGGGCGTTATCATGATCGGTTGATGGAGGGAAATCAGAATCTCAGGTTTTATGGTCGAGGATCGGGTAGAGTTTAATGAATGCTTTTCATCCTTGAATGCAACTAAATCAATAAAGCTGTCGAAATTGCATGGAGCTATAGCGGTTATCAGACTCTTTCAATTTCTTCAAATGGTAGCAGATGGATTCCGTGTGAACTGTGATGTATAGATCTGACTCTGACGGACACACGGCCCTTCATGTCTCATCCATTTTCTATACACCAACCAGACCCAACAAGTAATAAACAGGATGAAATGCCAAAGGAAGGGAAGCTTAAAACCACAGAGCACCTGTATTACAATCTCAAATGTTCACATGCAAAGTAAAAGAATGTGACAGGGTCAAAATCATCTCCACAGGCAGGCATCAAAAGAATATTGGAACTCAGATAATTACATGGCAATAATAAATCAATGCTCTTCCCCTCATTATTCTGAATATATTGACCGCAAAATTCGAATTCAGTACTGACCTGATGTCAACTTTTAACAATCAACTACTTTTTCCTTCAGCCTCCTCTGAGAATCACAGAACCAAGTGCCTCTTAGAATGCCAAGCTAATATGAGATAATCTGCAGTTATCTTTGCGCCGATACAGCCTCTATGGCACTGCCTAATGGCCATGCTGCTTCAACGAAGGCATTGCGATACTTAACCTTCTTCACCAGAGTAATCTTTTGCCAGGGATCAATAGCTGTAAAATGGAAGCACGAGAAACAAGTGCTGGATGAATTAGATTACCATACGAATATCGAAATTGCTCAATCACTCCTATTTGTAAAACAAAAGACTAATCAGCACCCTTTAGACATAAAGCAAAAGCCAGGAATTATACAGAAGAAACTGACTGGAATGCATACTTACCAAATCCATCTACAAGCAATGTATATTGGTAAACGAGATCCATGCATAAATACGGCAGATTACCAACTTCTACACGAGGATATATAGATTTTGCATCTTCCAGTTTAGTTTGGCAAGCACGTTTAGCTGCCTCCTCAAACTCCGCAGCACTGACCTTGGCAACAGGTTTGTTGGGGTCCACAAAGCCAGCCTACATTGATAAGATACTCTGCATAAATTATGCTTCATATATATCATGAGAAACCTTCAACTTCAAAAATTTGAGATATAACTACCTCAGCAGCCCTGTCAAAGAAAAACGAAGCAACGAATAGATTCTTCTGTCCATCCCCTCCTCCACCATTCCAAACACCACCGAATGTGCATTTCATGTGTGTACATGTTGCTTCATTAACTTTGAGGGCTTTCAAAGCAATCCTTCTGCACTCATTCATGTTTGAACCAGATGAAGAAGCTGGTACTTCGTAGTTCACACCACCATATTGGTAAGACCCTAAATATAGTCAAGGCAGATGGTCAATCATTAATGCACCATTTGCTATCCAATGGAAGTTCTAAGGAAATGGGTTATGACAAGGATCAACTAAAGAACGCAAAATTTGCTCTTGCTTCCAAATTTGCGCATCAGAAATGCATTGTTTCTATAGGCCTGGCAAAATGCTTTGAAGTGCTTGAGTGGTCATGCTATTGCTAAAGCCACGTTATTAAGAGTCTAAACAGCTACCATCACTCACCCTCCAACACAAGGCATAGGACCAGTGAAGCTCACAACTCTTAACAAGTTTATAACAGTAAGAGAATCCATTGTATAAAAAGAAATGGACCTAAGTCTAAAGGACTTGAAAAAGTGAGTAGTTTACATACCCTCGTAACCTTCCAAGATGCAAGGGTTGCCTGAGTCACCAGAAACCTTCAAAATTTCCGCTCGAGCTGCTAGTAGACCATAGCGCAAGTAACTGTACAGTCATACACAAATCCAATAAGTAACAGTAGTCCAGAGCTCTGCTGAAAAGGAAATAAAGCACCATATACACAATGATAGGGATGTAAGCACTGGTGAATATCATAAAGAATTCGGACTGAGAAAGAGACCTATGAACATAGAGGTGGTATTTTCTTCCTTTGAGAAACATTTCTTTGACATACTCATCCTCTCCATTTGAGACCCTGGGCGCCTTCGCAGCATCCTCTTCCGATATAGCATATGCCATCTGAACTGAGCCCCCTCCAAGATCAACAACTCCAACCGTATCGGAATATTGCTTTCCCAAATATCCTAACAGATAGTTTATTGTCACCTGAGAAGCGTCAAGTAAGTTATTGACTTACTCAATCCTAGCAGAGTGAGTGCAACATTACCATTAGACTGTAAGCAATTGCCCTGGCAGTTAAGGAATACCATCATACTTTAACTTAGGTCTCAGAACTTCCATTTCATTGCTGATGAACCATAGACACCTATAATGTGGATTCATGTCCAAGCATCACGTTCTCTTTCTTCTTAACTCCTTATCTTTCACCTTTCTTCTTCAATAACTAAGTTACTGTCTCATAAATTAATAAAACTGTGGAAAAACAAAAACATTATAAAAAAATTTAGGTTTAAACTTCAATTAAAGTACACAGCCTACATTAACTGCTGCTCAACTACAAACTTCCATTCAATCTTGAAGTAAAGGCAACATAACCTACATATTCTGTACTGTAATTAAACACAATTTCTCAAATGTATGGTGATAAATTGAGGAGTACAACATTCAACAGACAAAGGTCGTCATTTCTTCAGTAGGTCATTGCTAGTAACTGGTTCCAAATGCTTTCCACAAGCTTGGGAAGGCCAAGGGTAACTTTGAAAAGGCATGTTAAGTAGGGAGGGTGGCTGGGCAAGTCGTGTAGTGAAAAGGCAATGCTCGTATTATAGTATTATAGTGCCATTTAACACAAGTTGCTGATAGAACAACCAAAGGCAATTATCAACATTTCTTTTTATTGCTTCCCAAGCCAACAGGGGGTGATATATTCAACGTTAAACCACATCATCAGTACAATTCTTTAAACTATATAACGCATCTAACACTCGACAACCAATTATAGCAACAGTTCCCAAATTAAAATCCAACTTTATACATGCATAAAAAAAAAGGTAAGCAAACATACCCACTGATAAGCACCTTCCTGTGTTCCATCCAAAACACTAACCCACCCTGACTCAGATTTAAGGCTGCTTCTATCTTTCAAAAGCTCCCGAACCTAAAGGGATGTCCACATGTACAAAATACAGCAATATCGAAACCCAAAAGTTAGTTTTCCAATTCAAACCTAAGAAACTTCATTTAATGGTCCAATAAAAGAAAGCATTACCGCATCTAGAATCTTATCAGATGCATCGCCTTCCAATGCCCTCAAGCCAGCCGTTGCCTAGTGAAACATCAGAGCCAAATGCAGAAGATGAGTAAACAAACGTCAGATGCCCGGACAAGAACTCCATTCCAGCGTTTGCATCATTAACTTACCCCGACTTTAACCGGAGTCTTGCCGCGGAGCTCTTTAGGAACAACACTTTCTGCTTTATCAAGAAGAGAAAGCAACGAGTCCGCAGCCTGTCTGGGATTTTTCGCATACGCGCTTAAACCCGGCTTAATCTATAAACACAAATCAAACAAATGTCACGCGTAAACATCCAATTCAACCAGCATTAGCCACAATCACCCGACATTACAAACATAAGAAAAGCGACGAAGGAAAGGTAACCTGAAGAAAGAGCTCGAGTTCCTTTCCCATGGGAACGAGATCCAAGTACTGATCGAAACAAAACACATGCACGCGACTCCCGGAGCTACCCGCGTCGAAAATAACCGCATAAGTCCTGGACTTCGAACCCGGAGAGGCCTTGCGGTGCGCGAGCGTGTACTCCTCAATCGACTCGGAAGGAGATCCAGAAGGCATCAAGAAGAGCACAAATCCAATGAGCAAGAGAGGCACGGAGATCACCAGTATGACGCCCCGGTACTTCTGGATCTTGTCCTCGTGGAACCGCCCCGGGGGCCGCTTCATCATCTTGTCCAGCTCGTGCTGGTGGTGGAGCTGCTGGTCCGACGGCGGGGAGTTCGGGTTGAGGGCGGCGGCGGCGTCGAAGAGCTCGGCGGAGGAAGGGGATCTGTACCGGATCTGGCCGTTCCCGGCGGCGGCGGTGGCGGGGGCCTTCAGGGACTGCGCTTCCTGTATCGGCTCCAGCTCTCCCTCCTCAGCACCCCGGTCGCTAAGCGCGTGTTATGCGTGCGCGCGCGCGCGCGTGTACGCACCGCAACCGGCGGGGGGAAGGAACCTCCGATCGCCGGAATCCTCAGCCGGCGGAATCGAGCGGAGAGGATCCGACGGAACGGTATCGGACCGCGACAATGCCGATTCCGATCGACGGAGACCGATCAGAGCATCGGCGGAGGGAGTGAAGAAGGAGAGCTCCGGCGCGATCTCTCCGTCCACCGGAATCCTAGAGAGAGAAAGAGATGGAGAGGGAGAGAGAGAGAGAGAGAGAGAGGGGGAGAGGAGGAGAGGGGGGATGAGACGGACCAAGCAAGCGCCGCGACGCGTCTGTAACTGCGACGAGCGGAGGAGGCAAATATGGGGGAAAAAAATTGGCAACGACTTTTTTTATTTTTTTTATTTTTTTCTTCATTTAAAAAAAAATTAGGGATTATTGTGAGATTTTTTTTTTTTAACAATATAGTCTGTACTATATTCGGCGGAGTATGGAATATGTAAAGTTTTCCTGTAGAGTAAAGTTCAATTGGAGCAGCTTTTACATCAATCCTCATACTATTATTAGGAGCATGTATATGCACGGATCTAGTCGATATGGGTCGAATCGTTTATGTGTGAGATGTGGACCGAGTTCACAATTAACTCCGATCTATACATCCACGAGTCCGACCGACGTTTCATGATCTCGACGCCCCAGAACCCTACCTGATTTGAAGATATACTAAAGCAGGAGGAACATTAACACCCAGGATTTCCAACACCGGCATTGCCGACCGCGAAGAGGGACGCTCCGACGAGTCCTCACCCGATGCCAACTTCACTCCGTGTATAAAAGTTACGCCCGACCGACGCAAGAGGAGTTTGGATGGAATGATACCAACTGTCCATTTTCTTTTATTACGAGCATTGTAGCTATCCATGTCCAAAATCTACATCGATGAATGAAAGTAGGCCTACCACTGTAAATTAGAACAAAAAGAAAAACAGAGCGGGCGAGCAAGTTCGAGGACTAGGCTGTCCGACACCCAGAAGGGAAGGAAGCTAGGTGCTTTCTCAGGCTTTCTTCTGCTTGACGGGCGGGGGGAAGAGGACCCGGAAGACCCAAGCTGCTAATATCGCTCCAACAAAAGGGCAGATCCAATAGACGTAGAACTGTTCCCATGTTGTGTGCCAATTGTTCACATATGCCCACCCGAAAGCCTGCAAAGACGCAATAACACGTGTTAATGCATGCTCTCCTGAAAACTTGTCATGCCAAGGGAAGGCCGGTGCCAAGAAAGACAGTGGACCAAGAACACACATACATACAGACAAAGAAAGGGGGGAGAAAGAGAGGGAGGAGATTAATCAGTCGGTCGACAAGGATTGGATGCATTCAATGGGAAGTTGGGAGGATGATCACCGGGTAGCAGTGGGAAACAGGAAAATTTTAGATGAAAGCCAGATGCTTATACTTTCTGAACTGAAATAATAGTTGACTACCTTAACATTTGCATATCGAAACAAATCAGTCCTAAACAGGAGAAAAGCTCGTCCTCTAAAGCCGTATAAATACCATTGCTAAACTATCCTGGCAGTAAACATTTGCTGAATTGCGCACACCCTGGCTGAATCGAACAACAAAGCCAATTGAAAGAGACAAGAAACATGACTGACAAAGAGGGGCAGAGATGGGAAGAAAATGGCATACTTGTATTTGCAAACCATGAAAAAGGCAATAACTTTTTCACTGGAATATCAGGAACAAAAACCTATCATAAAACAGATTCTATAATGATGCTTGCTTGCAACTAGACACTGAAAATATCCTTGAACAAGCTCTCTCCACCAACTTGTCTAGCAGAGAGGTCTAGAAGAGAGAAAATTGAACTCCATCTGATACAGCTGTATCTTTTAACACACAGCACATCCATTAAAGCAATGAATAGCATCACGATGGAAAAGAGTATCCCCGCCACCTAGTGAAGAATCTCTCCTCTGACTAGGGAACAGATCCTTCATATACTCAACGGAGAAAGGAATATCTTGTCAAAGTGGGGAAGCTGTCGCAAAACCTCATCCAACAGACTATAATTGGAGCTCGCGAAACAGAAAAGGGTTCTTTTGATTTTTGAGTAGATAAGGAAGGGTGACAGAGTTTCTAGACCAGGCTATACATCTAATACATACGAGAACAATAGATGTACATCTCATATGTGTAACCTGAGAAGCAAACTTTCGAGAATTGGACTCACTATTTGTTATATGAATGCATCCAAACCTTGCACATGATAGTTGAACAGATTCGCTCTAACGATAATGCACATTGGTATCAACAAATAAGTCATGCATTGAAGAGAGCAATCGCTGTCAAGATGTAATTGCATGAGATCGGATCCACATAATATCGAGAAGAAAAATTACTGTAAAGCAAACTCAATTTAAAAGTAAAAAACCTTACCAAGATCACACCTTATTTTATATCCACCAGTTACAACTACAATTTTTCCTGACACCAATTTGCATTATTAGGTCGTATGTACTTTCACGATTGAGATAGTTGAGCATGAGGTTCAGTCTATGAAATGAGGATTATACGACTTGTTGCTAGTTTAAAAGGTTGGGCTGGAGCTGATTCGGTGCTGTCAATAGCGTTTGGGACCAACAAATAAAGAGGAGAGATAGAACACGGGGAAGTGACAGTGAATTCATGAAGAATTGTCTTAAGCAGTCAACTCTGCAACATCAATGAATTTATAATAAAAAGGCAACAAAGGGGTTTTAAAGACCTTGACCAACAGAATTATTAATGAGATAACCAAACACTGGGAAGAGATGATAAGTAATTTGGTAGAAAGAGCAATCATCTGATGCAGGCAAGACCCATACTCACGAGGGACAATTCGACAAAAAGAAAAGCTCCATCACACCAACAATAAGATAATTAGCTGACTCGGTCCAAACACTATACAAATCATCTTATTTGAGCTCTAAATGTTCAACAAGAACAAGATTTTCATATCGTTTAACTGTGGATGTAAGATCAATCAGCAATAAGCAAACATCATGCAGGCGGATGGAAGCTCGGGATTGACAAAGATAATATACTCACGTTGGCTGGATTCATGGATGGCCCAGTGTAGGAAGACCCCGCGACTACCAAGGCAACCGTCACCGTGGCCAGCAACCAGGTCTTCACGAAGGAGCTCTGAGGGCCTCTGAGTACAATGAGAAGGACGAGGAAGGTGATCAAAAAGGTCAAAACGCCCTCTGCAATAGCTCCTGTATGCAAGTCCACCTTCAAAGATGGCCCTTCCAACATGTGCTTGTATTGTGAAGGCATCACCTCCATGATCGCAAGAGCTCCACCAACAGCACCGGCTGCCTGTCAAAGCAACATTCATCAATCCACACACCAAAACAACCACAAAATTGAAAAAAAGAAGGAGGAGCGTGGTGGTTTGTAGCATTTGAAAGTGTCGTTTCTCTTAACCCTTTTCCGATCCCGGAAAAAAAGTGAACTTTATACAAAATCTCATCTTTTTATGACAAAACCGTTCGCAAACGGCAGAATTTGACCCGACCGTCCCATTACTCATAAACCCACAAAAGCAAAACAGATTATCTCCAACAGATCCAAAAAAGATGTTACCGGATAAAGCGAAATTCGAGTACATTGCAGTGTAATTTACCTGAGCAGGAAACCGCAGAGCCATGGAGAAGAGGTCGTCGGAGCCGACGCCGGCGGCGTAGAAGGACGCGGTGGCCGTCGGGTTGAAGCTCGCGCCGCCCAGCGCGCTCCCGATCAGGTCAAACACCAGCACCAGGACAAAGACGAGCGAGGTGGTGATCAACAGCGACGCCCACGGCAGGACGGCCTCCCCGAGCCCGAGCGCCGCCGCCACCGCCGTCGTCGCGGCCCCCAGGGTCGACGCGGAGAACACCCACATGAAAGTCAGGACCCCGTCGGCGACCGCCGATCTAAACGCGCCCATGACGGCCCAGGAAAGGGTGAAAAAGCCCTTGTTTTGACAGGCTAGTGAAGAAGAAGAAGAAGAGCAGGGATCCGAGCGAACCACCTACTGCCAATGAGTGGTGAATACTATATACTAGTTGAGCGGGACGTGATGTGCGCGATGAGCATGACGCTACTGGAGGATGATGATTGACAATTCCGAGGCTGAGTATTATCGAGGAATCCCCCGAGATTTCTGGTCATCTCTTTTCCACCCGAGCTGTTGAAATCATTCAAAATTTTTTGCTGGGTCAAATCTTTCTACGGATGGGACTCGAAGTCAATCGAGTTGGGTTTCAAGCCGGTCGAGCCCAGCCCACTCTGCTTCAACCACGTCTCTGCTGCACAGTCCCTCTCCTGTTTCAACACTTGTCGTTTTCGGACAGATGAATTACTTTCCTGTGTCCTGAAGAACACTGCTTTAAGGAATTAGTTTTGTCGTGTTTGGAAAGGAGTACAGTGAGCCGGAGAAGTAATGCAGCCTATTTCGGGCCAAAAAAGAAAAAAGCCATTTTCTATTGACAACTTAGATTTTCCCAGAAAAACACTTCCGAAAATGTTTTTCCGAGGAAAACTATTTTTAGCAAAGAAAGCAAGAATGAGTCGAGAATAGATAAACAAGAAGCCACGAATGTGAAACAAATCGGGTCGGAATTCGACACTAGTATCGAGTTTAATTATCGAACAAAAAAAAATCATCAATCATAACGATGATCGATTTAAGAGTAAATCGATTCTTACTTTGAAACCTAAAACCGGATCAGTAGAATCGGTTTCCTATTTATGGAATCAGGAATCTACCTACCCGGTTTTGGAATTGGATCAACCGATCCGATCCAGTTCCCACGTGGGTCTGGGAATCGGTGGTGATTTCTTTCTTTCTTTCTTTTCAATTCCATGCAATATTGCAAGTGTGTCTCTTCTCTCTGCAAATATGAACGTTGTTTTTGTACAAGTTACAAATCTCTTGCACATAGTTATCGTATCAATGTCTACATAGCGCAGCTAAAGTTAAAACATAGATCTTCATGAGGACAGGTAACAAGATTCTCAGTCCTTTATCGCAATGCATTGGTATCCCCCAAAAATTTGCGAAGAAGGGAAACGAGAAAGAATCTTTCAAGTAACTCCGCATTCTTGCAACCCCCGATCATCTACTAAGAAATGTTTTGTAATAATAAGAATTATAAATATATTAAATATATATATATCGATTAGGTCCAATCCACACCTAGAACCTAGAACTGGACCGCTTATCACTAGTTTTAAAATTTTAGGAATTGGGAACCCAACCGGTTCTCAGTTCGGTCTGGTTCAATGCTCACCCCCCAATTAGTCGGAGAGAGATTTTTGAAATCCCACACACAAGCAAGTGAAATATTTTAACAGAGCTGCGGTCCTTTGCAAAAAGTTTTGCGCACGCTTGTGGTACGAGAATCCGAGTTTATGCTGTGCATTTGGTCTACACGCACAAAATTCGCTATCATTTGCTCGAAACTCATCAGGTTTGAAAAACCGATATTTCAAACAAATCAATCCAATCCAATCCAATCCAAGAACCTTCTTCTTGTCTTCTTCTCAACGGCTGTGTTCTAGTACAAAGTTCAATACGCAAGGTAAGGACGTGTGCATCGCTCGAAAGGGGGATTTGATGGATTAGCAGACAAGTCACCCACTAAAACTTTACGGACGGGTCAAGACACTCGAGCTAAAGAGACCCTTTCCTTGTCACCTTCCCATTGCGAAGTGACAAAAAATCAGTGGTTTGACTCATCAATCAACGTAAAAATTGACAATTGTTTGGAGAAAAAGTAAGCAATCATCAAGGTAAAAACATCACTCGACTCGTCGCGAAGCGTGGCCCCGAAAAGAAGTTTCGCATAATAAGGCCTAAAAATCCTCGTGACCAATCAGCACATTAAATCTAGAGCTCCCACAATCCGGATTAGCCAAACATAAAAATTCGAAATCGGTCTTGTTGGTTTCTAGGTGGAAGACGGTATTCTAATTTCTCAACGATTTTCCGTGCACCAACCAAAATCCATTTGTCCAGTTCGGTCAAAAGCAAGTCATCTCGCAACCTCCTAGATGCAACAGGGGCACGTAGACGATGCTCGTACTCGGTGTGCGACGGGCATCGGATTGGATGCCTGCGCATTTCCACGTTACTGATTATTCGCCATGACCGTCATCGTTAACCAACCTAAAGATGAATAAGGCTTCGAATAGAAAATAAGAGAAAACGGGGACGGTCCGGAGGCTGAAAAGGAGCTTATTTTATATGCTGTGAGTTGCGTAAGATGTTATGAACGTTGGTTCAAGTTTCATTGGCTCCGCGAATTAAGATAAAAAGAACAAGCAACTAAGTTGCCTTGGAAGTGTAAACAAAACCAAAACGATTCGAGCGGGAAATAACCGCAGAAGAGTAAGCTGGACGTAGCATATTTACTTGGTTTAGTGGCATGCTGGCTCTATAAAGAGAGATCGACGAGATGGTTCCACTATAATTGGCAAAAATAACATTACAAGTCACTCAATTACATCTGTTCACAAGTGTTTTTTGACCTGGTTATGTCCGCATAAAGCCCCACGTTAATCAATCAAGAAAGTCACTCGCAATAGGTTTCTCTCGACAGCTCTCTCTAAGTTAGGTCCGACCTAACGAGCGAAATATATCACATCACGTATTTTATTTTCGATCCCGCGCATGTTCCATTGTCTACTATAGGTGAGCTAAATGTTCAAATTTATTCGACGTGAAATCCAGACCAAGTTGGATGTCCAATTCAACAACGACCAAATGTCCGAGTGGCACTCCTACAACTAGGTCCGACCAGGCCTATGGTCTTTCGTCCTGGGGTCCGAGAAAAAGCCTTCGGACCCGCGGCAGCTCTGGCCCCTTTCCTGCTCCATTTTGGACCTCCCCAACACGATTCCGGACGTACCGAATCTCGTCCCCGTGCCCTCCAAGCTAATCCGCACGCTCCGGACACATCCTCGAATCCGATCCACTCGGGGGTCCAATCCACACACACACAGCAAACGCGCCATGCTGACCGAGGCCCGAAAGAATTCGTATCCAACCTCCTCATCATTCGGACTCGACCGTCCCCGTACAAAGCTTTCAACGCGGCGTGGAGCAAGCCTCATCAGATGTCCTGGTCGTACCCCGTTAGCTTCTCCTGCATGGGAGGAGAGAGAAGGGGTAAACGAGGAGAAAAGGGGGAAAACGACAGCAGAAAATGGAGTTGAAAAGAGCAGCAGCAGCAGGAGGAGGAGGAGGGAAGGAAGGAAGGAAGGGTGGAGAGGGGGGTTGGTCAATGGTCCGGTTGATTATTATTACCATCTTTCATCAAAGGAATGATGTCGGTGGTGGCCCAGTCGCATTCGCACTCCTAAAGCCTGGCAAAAAGATGGAAAGGACCAACAGGACGAGGCACTGTTAGATGAATAGCGGCAGTGGCAGCCAAAGAAAGAAGGCAAGAAAAAGAAAAGGGGAAAAGGAAAATTATGTTGGCACACGACATTCTGCATCTTTGATTCAACGTGCAGTCAACCTTAACCTAGTGAGAGAGAGAACTGAAAATGGAGACGTCAAACCGTGAAAGACAAACGCCTACTCGGATTTCGTATGCATGTGTCAAGGGAGGTCCCGGAAGTTAGATCTAGTCACTGTTATATTTAAATCACGGCGGATTAGCCTGCAATTTGCTAATAATTCGACCTCCACGCTCCGTTTTAGCTGTATGTTCTGGTGTGCCCCATTCGTACTGCTATCGCGATAACTCGATTTTTGGGACAAACTAGGACGACAAGTTCTTAAGTGACCCGAACGTTGATATTTACACGCAATTCGTTAATCTCGATGATGTTTTTTCCCTTATAACATAAGGGGATGAATAAATCAGGGATACCAACAAATAATCCATAAATTTCGACCTTACGGGCAATGCGAACCTTAAAATTTTAATTTATTCAATGTGAATCCTAAACTTTTAACCTCACGTGACACATGTTAAGTCGGGTCAAAGTTTGAAGAGCCGTTTTTCCTAAAAAATTGACAGTCAAACTAAATAAAAAAAGTGATCCATATAGTGACTTTTTGGCTGCTCCCTCGTTTCACATTCGACCTAATACATAACGTGGTTCTTGAACTCTAATCCATGACGGCACGTTGCATATCGGGTCAAAATTTGGAGAGGTTTTATTTTTTCTTTAAAAATTGACAGTCAAATTAAATCAATCAAAAAAGTGACTAATACAGCGACTTTTTCTCTCACTGAAAAAAAGGGAGAAATTCCAACGCCAATCTCCCGCTTTTTTCCCGTCCTTTTTTTTCGGAAATTCCGGGGTTTTTTCTTACGGGCTCCCTCACAATCAATTGGGTTCCGGGGCTCGTGTCCTAGAGAGAGAGAGAGAGAGAGAGAGAGAGAGAAGAGGCTGCCCGAAAAAGCGGACACGAGAGAATCCAGGGATAAATGGGTAAAAGCACCCCCCCCCAGCTTCAACGTGGTGTCTGAATACTCCCCCCCCCCCCCCCCCCCCTCCCGTGGGCCCCTCCTGTCCTCTCACTTTCGTTCAACTCATTCATTCAATTCAACTCCCGTCCAAGACACATCCCCCCAAAATTAAAAAAAAAAAGGACAAAAAATCCCCGGACTTGCGAAAAAGAAATATTTCGATATTGAAATACTTACTAATTTCTACCGCGAATAAAAGTGAGATACGAAGCCAAAGACGCGCACGGTACCGAACTTATAAGCCACCTCGATCGAGAGATAGTTTCATTGGGTTTTGGTCGCTCATGCTGCGTGGGTCTCTCAGTTCGACTTCAGTTTGCGTATGTCTAAACGGGGTCCGGAACGAAAAAATCCACGGCTCTTAAAAGATCTCGATGCCAAGTACTTACTAAATTTCACCAATCCAAAGCAAGGCGAGCCGCTGAATCAAAAGACCCGCCGCGGGTATCGAGCTCATGTCGCGAACGCGAGCCTCAGTCTACGCGCGCCTGAATAAAGATAAATTAACCAGTACAGTTTGATTTACAAAATTGATTTTCCGTTTTTTTTCTGGTGGGGCTTTCTTCGAGGAAAAATCTATCTAAATTTGGTTATTGGAAGGAGTGAAGAGGAGAGAGAGAGAGAGAGGACTGGAGGAAGACTTCCGCTCTTTGCAAATTACTGAGCTACAAGCTACACTACAGAGAGCTACAGAGAGGAAGCTACTTCCCACAAGCCCACCCCCCCGACCCCTCCTTTTCTCTCTCTCTCTGAAAATCCCCAAAACATCCGCTTCACACAAAACTGTCACTTCCCCCAGCCTGCTTTGCTTCCCTTCTTCCCCGTCCCCCACTCCCCTACTGCATCCTCCTCCTCCTCTTCCTTCCGTCCTCCACTCGTTCACTCTCTCTTTCTCTCTCTTGGCCGTGCTGCTTCTGCTTCGCTTCCCGCACCTTGTTCTTCCCCCCGCGCGAGCTTTAATGTGAGCTCAGCTTCGAGATCTGCGTAGATTAGGGTTTTCGCGAGCTCGGCCCCGCCATGCGTCCGGCTCTGCTCGGGGAGCTCTCCGCCTGAATGCGCTTTGGTTCGGAGCCGGGGTGTCGAGTGGGGAGAAGATCTAGGGACAGCCTATGATGGTTAGGGATTTCGTCTACTGTATCGGCATCGATTTCGGTTGAAGCTTTTACCCCCGGGGTTCGTTTTTCTCTTCTTTGGCGGGGAACGGGCGGGCGGGCGGGCGGGAGGGCGGGTGGGCGGGTGGGTGGTGGGGAGCTTTTGGAGATTGCGCGCGGTGAAAGATCGGTTTTTTTTTTTTTGGGCACGCGGTATGGATGTGTTCGCGTAGGGGGAAGGAGGGAGGGAGGGAGGGAGGGAGGGAGGAGGAGGAGGAGCGGTTCCTTCGAGGAGAGGAAAGGAGGTTTTTTTGGGGGGGGGGGGGTTTGTGAGTCGAAAGACGGAAAAGTGGAGCTTGTGCTGAAGAATGAGACTCTCGTCGTCGGGCTTTAACCATCAGTCGCCGGAAGGTAATCTGTTTTTTAAGCGCGGAAATGCGGTCGTTTTGCTGGTTTTCGTGTGTCGGTTCGGCTTCGTCCGGTCGTGCGAGGCCAATTGTCGATTCTTGCTGTGTGGGATGAAGTGAATTTTAAACCCTGAAAGCTGGAGGTGTCGGGCATGCGTATCTTGCTCATGTTTTCGACGAGGCCGTGAGCATCTGGAAATTGGATTTGGCTGCTCTTGCCTTTCGGAGCTACATATGTGGATGTTTGAGCTTCTTCTTGTCTTGCCGATGATCATAAGCTACTTGAGTGTGTTCTTTTTGCTTGCGCAAGCGGGAAACTTGTACTGCGGTGGTCCAAGAAAGATCGAAGACGGCTGCGAACTGTTCTTTAAGCTATTGCTATATTATGTGTCTTCAATTTACATAAACTCTGAACCATCATGAGATGACAAAACGACGGCATGAGGCTCGTTGTTTGCTTTTGTTGGGTTAGGTATTGGGCATAAGACATGAGGTGACGGGTGCTGTAGACACATCTATGGATCTCTTCCGTGTTGTACCATGTGTCACGGTTGATGTTTGCCAATGTTTCTGAGTACGTTTGTATAGAATAATTGTTGGGGCTTTACTAATGTCAAGTGAATTGTTCCTTGCTAGCCTCAAATGCAGGGGAGAAGAAATGTTTGAACTCTGAGCTATGGCATGCGTGTGCTGGTCCTCTTGTGTCATTGCCTCCTGTTGGAAGCAGAGTAGTCTACTTTCCTCAAGGACATAGTGAGCAGGTCTGTACCACCGTATATCTTCCATTCTCTTTGCTTTAACCAACATCATCAGTTCTTGTCTTGTGATCTCGAGCAGCAATACTATTATCTTGCTTTCGTGTTATCATCTGGAACTCTCAGATGTTAATTGCTCTAATTTTTACTGGGGATTGCTCATTACAGTCACTGGTGCTCAAACATGTCGTTGTTTATGTTCTGAGCGAATAGAAATTGCATGCGTAACATATGAAGATAGAACTTATAGAGGAACCATTTAATGATCATCTAGTTTGATCTCAGTTAAATTCTTCGCGGTTATCGCTTTTTCCTTGCTGAGTTCTGCTTTCTAGTTCATCCAAGTGGTGAAATTGTTGCCTACTGCTGTACTGTTGTTGTATTCTGAGTGTGCATTAATTAATATATTTGATTAGTTTCCCTGTGACCATGCCTCTGCAGGTGGCTGCTTCTACCAATAAGGAAGTAGATGCTCATATCCCTAATTATCCTAACTTATCCCCACAGCTCATCTGTCAGCTTCATAATGTTACCATGCACGTGAGTGTTCCATCTACCGATGGTTTCTGCTTATTGACCTTATCTTGAGTTGCAATTTTGAGTATAATTTCTTGTAAATAACAGGCAGATGTGGAGACGGATGAAGTGTATGCTCAAATGACCCTCCAGCCTCTAAGTCCGGTACCTACATTGTTAAATCTAGAGACTGACTTCTTTTATTCTATCGTTGCTTGATTTTATACAAGACTGACGTGGACTATTTTCAGCAAGAGCAAAAGGATCTATATCTACTGCCCGCAGAATTGGGAACTCCCAGTAAACAGCCAACGAACTACTTCTGCAAAACATTGACTGCAAGTGATACCAGTACTCATGGAGGATTCTCTGTACCTCGTCGAGCGGCAGAAAAAGTCTTCCCTCCTCTTGTACGTCAGACTTGAGTTCAAATGGTTCTAAATTTGTTCTTCAGAAAAACGGTCCCGGGAACCTGCCGAAACATATTTTTCATCTGCTGGTATCTTTGTTGTTTGATCAGGATTACTCACAGCAGCCTCCAGCTCAAGAGTTAATAGCCAGGGATCTTCATGATAATGAATGGAAATTTAGACATATTTTTCGGGGTATGTTTTCTTTATTTCAAATGGACGATTGAAACCTCTTTCAATAGACGTGCCATGGTATAGTGAAGAAACCTAATAATAACTCCAACTGGCATTATGATAAACTTCGCCAATTTCTGTTAGTTACAAAGGCATACTTGCACCCTCAAACCTGGAGAAGAAGTTGCACGCTTAACTTCAAAACTTCTAAGTTTTTGTGCTTTATTATTTGTTTATAGCTTCTCCTCAGATAACAAAGATAACAGACATGTGCTCTATATTTCTTTAGATGTTTCCAGGGTTGGAGGGTATCGATTGCCGTGGTTCATCATCAGATTTTTTTCCTATGAATTTTCACGATGTGATTCAGTTGCTTATCTGCCAGTTTGAAATAAATGTAGTTTGTTCATCTCCATGTCAAATGTTCCAATGTTCTCGATAATCTCTGGGTGGCTCGCAAGTCTTTGCGAAACTCACATCTCATGAAAAAAGTTGGCTGGATTCATCGTGAAAGAACTTTGCTTGCCAACTAAGTTCCAATAAACTACAGACCCCTGCAATTTCTCTTTTATAGACTAGTATGTTTATTAATAGCATAGTCAAAGAAAGAGGATTTCCCACCTGCTTTAAAACTCACACAGTTGAAAAACTATTTTTCCAAAGGGTGGTGCCATTTTTTTGGGCATAGCACATTTTGGCACCTTAAAGCTTTTTACCTGGCCAACTTGGAAGGACATCTGTTCATTTCTGGAAGTTATTACAGATTGGCATCAAGAGAGTAATTTCATTGCCCCAGTCTGCTGACTCAATTAACTATAAATTGTCATGCTTGGCTCTTCACCCTTGTATTCATTTCTACATGATTGTTTTTGCTGGGAGTTGGTCAATTGACTTCTGCAATTGGTGGTATTGAGAAGGGAATTGTGTCACAGTTTGTGTATCCTGGTCAATCCCTTGTATTCTGCCAGTCGTTGGGTGATGTACGTGTATGCATTTGCTCTTGAAGGTGCGTCTTCTTTTTATGCCGGTATTGAAGGTGCTTAGTAGGAAGGCACTTCTTACTTGAACCCGTGCTTAAGATTCAGTAGCAACCTTTGCAACATCTGGATTTTTGTTTTTCTTTTGCCTGACTGAGAGTCCGTGGCTTCCTCTTTAGGATTGAAAATCGGCTTTAACCCAAGGCTGTCTTCCAGTAGGCAAACTTTTTTTGCATTGTCTTCGCTACAAAGAAGCATGCTTATGAATATGGGTTTCTTAAGGAGATTGTTTGTGGGAAAAGAGTGCGAAGACATTCTGAATGTTTACTATTAGCGGCACCCCTCTGGGATGGAGACACAGTTTGCCCTCTTAGATTTGGAGTGTCTATTCATAAGTGGCAATCCTTTATCTGATTTTCTATAGTTTCATATAGGCTATTGCTTCTAGTGCATAAGTGTTATTTTTCTGACAAAATTGACAAATTAGTGTGCGAGGCATCTTAAGCTGGTCATTCATTTTGCTTCGTAAAATATAAGAGCTGAGGTTTTTGAAATTGATGTTGCGAAAATTTAAGCAACTTTTGATATGCACATGCAGGGCAGCCCAAGAGGCATCTTCTCACAACAGGCTGGAGTGTATTTGTTAGTGCGAAAAGACTTGTTGCTGGAGATTCTGTTCTTTTTATCTGGTAGGATGGTTCATTTATAGTCATATTTATTGCTTCTCAAATTATTGTGCTAGAGTTTGTGTTTGGAAGGTTCAACTTGAATTCTCTTACTTACATATCATGGAACTGTAACTCGGAATTAATTGGTGGATTTTTCCCACAGAAGATGATTGACATTCATGAAGATTTTTTAGTGTCCTGATTGATAGTGTGCGACATAAATACTTCTTGAAAAGTGCTCTCTGCTTTTAATTTACTGGTGCCCTTGTCGCTGCATAAGCCCAAGTCTTCCATGTTCCCCTTCTTTCTTTTATGGAGTCTCTGTAGACATGATTTTTTCTAAAAGCATTCGGTTCTATTTATTTTCTAAGGTTTTACACATTCCCGGTGTTTTTCAGGAATGAAAAGAATCAATTGCTTCTTGGTATTCGACGGGCAAATCGTCCACAGACTGTTATGCCTTCATCAGTTTTATCAAGTGACAGCATGCATATTGGCCTTCTTGCAGCAGCAGCTCATGCTGCTGCCACGAACAGCCGCTTTACAATCTTTTACAATCCAAGGTAGAATGACTGGAAGCAGGTCGAGTTAAAATAACTGTGAGATTCATCCACTTGTTGCTTGTATGCAGGGCTAGTCCATCAGAGTTTGTCATACCTCTGGCAAAGTATGTGAAAGCAGTCTATCACACGAGGGTATCTGTTGGCATGCGGTTCAGAATGCTATTTGAGACGGAAGAGTCAAGTGTTCGTAGGTGGGTCCCAAAATTTCCTGGGATTTAATGATTGAAAAATCGACTTGGTGTTTGATTCTCCTAAAACGAATTGGCTATGAACTTCTGATTTGTATCTTCTGATTTGAAATGCTCTACTCTTCGCTGTTCTACTTTTCTGTCTCTGCAGCATTGTGGTTAGAATGCTTTCCTCCAAAAGAATCACTAACTAGCATTCGAGCTTACCTGTTGGTTTGCTGCTTCATTTGCTCCGTGACTACTACTTCTGCAGTAGTACACCAACCTATCTTTATCTAACCACACAAAGCTTAGTTTGCAGCAAGTCATCATTCTTCTATTTCCTTGTCATTGCTAAACCAAAAATTTTGCAACTCATATTAATGCAGCTCGATTTGTCAATACCCTTGCCTTGGATGACATTACCTACTTTATAAGAGACTATAAGAGACAAGGTGTATGCACGAGTCTTCTTGTTTAAAACCGCTTATGTATTTCAAATAAGCTGCTAATGATGATTAATGCCTCTTCACTGTTCTTATTTCCATTTTCTTGTGTGAACAAAACATTCCATAAATATGATGTGGAACTTATCTTACTGGATTTTCTTGTTCCAGATACATGGGGACGATAACAGGCATTAGTGATCTGGATCCTGTTCGCTGGCCAAACTCACATTGGCGTTCAGTAAAGGTTGATTTTAGTGGTTTTTGGTACCTTTTGTCTAGCCCTGAGGCATATCTTTTCCAGTTTCTAGGTGAAACCATGCTGATTTTCTAACCAACTGAAAATTGTATAAGTAAACTTAAGTAGTGTAAACAGGTTGGATGGGATGAGTCAACTGCAGGTGAGAGGCAGCCAAGAGTATCCTTGTGGGAAATTGAGCCACTAACAACATTCCCAATGTATCCTTCTCCATTCCCCCTCAGACTGAAGAGACCATGGCCATCTGGACTTCCTTCATTTCATGGTATACTTGAAGTTACTGTTACCAAATTAGAAATGCTTATTACCGGGAAACCAAAGAAGTACCTCTTACCTAAGTTAGAAGAATTCTAACATTTTTCTTCCTAATAAGTCTATTTATTTGACTGATTTCAGCTCTTAGGGATGGTGATATGAGTATCAGTTCTTCACTGATGTGGCTTCAAGGTGTTGGGGATCACGGAGTTCAATCTTTAAACTTCCAGGGATTTGGGATGACTCCATGGCTCCAGCCAAGATATGACACTTCAATGACTGCTTTACAAACTGATGTGTACCAGGCAATGGCAAGTGCAGCACTGCAGGATATGAGGACAGTGGACCCTTCAAAATGTGCCTCTCAGTCTCTTCTGCCTCTTCAGCAATCTCAAAATGTCCCTATGGTGCAAGCTTCTATCATCCAGAGGCAGATGTTGCAGCAGTCTCAATCTCAAAGTACCCTTCTTCAGGGCTTCCAGGAAAATCAGGCCCCAGCTCAAGGTCAGGTTTTGCAGCACCCCTCTTATAATGATCAGCGCCAACAACAGCAGCAGCATCAACAGCAACCTCAACAGTCCCAACAATTCAACCACACGTCTCTTCAGCAACAGATGCCGAACATCATCACTACTCTTCCACAGTACGGATCTATTGGTCAATCCCAGTCATCATCTCTGCCGGCCATTTCACAGTCCCAGCAGAATATCTTTTCTGATGGAGTGGAGAACCCTATAGTTGCATCTGATGTTTCACCTATGCAAAGCATTTTAGGTTCAATTTCCCGTGATGGGGCATCACAGTTACTCAGTGTGAATGGTTCTGACTCTGTGATATCATCGTCATTGTTGAAGAAGCAAAATTCAGCAGAACCACATCTTCTTTCTGAAGCTGCTCACTGCATTCTGCCTCAGGTGGAATTGGCTACAACACACACCAACGTCTCTGAATTTGCAAACTATTTACCTCCATTTGCTGGAAGAGAATATTCTGCATATCCGGGTGCCACTGACCCGCAAAGTAGTCTTTTATTTGGTGTTAACATTGATTCCACATCTCTTATGCTGCAAAATGGGATGCAGCATCTGAGGAATATTGGCGGTGAACATGATTCCTTGTCTGTGCCATTTGGTACTTCAAATTTTGCTAGTGTTGCTGGCACAGAATTTCCACATAATTCAGACATGGCGACGTCAAGTTGTGTGGATGAATCGGGTTTCTTGCAGTCTTCAGAAAATGTGGACCAAGTAAACCCACCGATCAGAACCTTTGTGAAGGTGAATTTGAGTCTTATTTCCTTTGACGCCTATTGGTTTTGTTTAATCGCTAAGGAACTATTCAGAGTTCTTGTGTCTGATCACTGGTTTTTCATGGTTAAATTGCTTTTTCAAGATCTCAGAATCAAGACTGCCCGAGTGTTTTCCTCTTGAGTATTGTGCTTCACTATCTGAAAGGACATGCTACACACACTTCAATTTGTATTATGTTGAATGATCATCAGACTACTTATAACCAGTTCTAAGTGTAATGTGTTTCCTTACGTAGTCGTGCAAGTTTCCTTGTATCATCAACTTGTTTCTGCAAAAGGAGGAATTTATCTTTTTGTTAGAGTAAGGGACAGATGAATCCGATTGAAGCATGGTTTAGTTGAATTTTGACTAGCATGCATGCAAATCAGAGGCTTCCATGTGATTGCCATGTTATCGTCCTCAAAGGATGTAGATCTTGTGATTTACTCATACTTTGTTCACCCTAGTTCATAATGGCCTTGGGATGATAGCATTTAGCACACTGGGGAATCTCACAGAACGTAGATGGTTTATGAGTTGTGATCCCTTTCCCTGGTGATGGGCTGAGGATGACATATAGTATAGAGTCAATATGCAATCAAGTGTTTCTGGATATACCTTTCTGAAAAGACAGTTTGCTAACCCTCCTATGTGTGAAGGCCACATAACCTACGTACCGGTGGTAATATGGTTATGAGTCCATTTCTGATGTATATATAATGGGTGATTCTATATTATGGTTTTGCGAGAAGTCAGTCTCCTTCTTGGCTTGTTTTGAGTATCTCCCGAATAACCCCAAATCTTCTTTCGGAGGCAAAGTTCACACCGAAATTGCTCTTTTCTCCTTACGTTCCACATTGTTAATTATGTATGAAAAGCATGACTATGCTTCTTGGTCGATTGTCTCTTAGTTATTTAATTATTCATCTGCTCCTACTTGATAATTTCATTGTCCCTATTACTACGTTTTCAGAAAAATAGGCGTTAAACTTTTGCGCTGATGACATAATTTGACAGGTTCACAAATTGGGGACCTTTGGGCGGTCACTGGATATTTCAAAATTCAGCAGCTATGATGAGCTGCGCAGTGAGCTCGCTCGTATGTTTGGCCTTGAAGGCCAATTGGAGGACCCTCAGAGATCAGGCTGGCAGCTTGTATTTGTAGACCGGGAGAATGATATCCTTCTCCTGGGTGACGACCCTTGGCAGTAAGTGTGCTTCTCCTTTTTCCATAATAGGTATAGGGTGATGGTAATGTGTGCTTTAAGATTCTTCATTGCTGGCAATTGATTATGGCTTTTTGTTGAATTATGTGGCAAAATATGTGCTTTGAAAGGCTTGTCTGAATCTTTTGTTTTTTGCTTTTGATGGATGTTATGTTCTCTTGGTACTTTTGATGGATGTCCAAGCGAGTAAATCTTAATATAACATACGGATTATTGGCTCGGTGAAAGATGCTAGGAATGAGTTCCTTCCCTACGGGTTTTCTTATTTCTTTTTATTGAGTGAGCATCTCTTTGGGAAGTTTAGTAGTTCAGCTTTTGATGTGACTATTCAGCCTGTGCGATTGGGTTTGCAATTTGCATCGACAGTTCGTGTGGGATTGTGCTGTGAGCGTTCTATGAATTCACCAGAAATTGTAAACTGGTGCTTGTCTTGTAATTTAGTCGCTGAGCCTTTGATTTGCTAATGGGGAAACTAATGCCTTTCTCTAGGGAGTTCGTCAACAATGTGTGGTATATCAAGATTCTTTCTCCTCATGAAGTAAAACGACTGGGCAAAGAAGGCATCAACCCTGCAAATTCTGTCCCGAGACAGGCTCTGTGAGCGCATCACCGTATTTGATGGGCATGTTTGGTTGACAAGAGTTGACCAATCTGAGCTTTGGGATAGGCAGATGATGGGGGTGGCTGGACTACTTGAAGCCAAGCCCTTTCGCGTAAGAAACAGACATGGCTTCCAAGAGGCGTTTGACCGTGTTGTAGTGGTTACTTATGCGATAAAGAGTTGTAGTAATATATTGCTTCGAGAGATGTAGTGACATGGTAAGTCTACTCTCAAGGTTTGCTTTATAACTGTAAATCTTAACACCACGGATCATTGAAGAGAATGACATCGACATTCCTGTAATTTATTTGCTGCTATATGCTATTTGTGCCTGTACCGGACATTTTCATGAAATGCGAACTAAATTACTCCCTTCGTAGGAGATCCACTGCCCAGCTTTTGAGTGCCACAGGTACTTGAACAGTGGAATTTGCATCCTTATTCAAGCCAAAGTTGCATCAGTTGGCTGATGATGATTACTTCAACATCGTATTACTGGTGACTGGGACTCTGTCCCAATTGTTAAATCTTTCTTATCTTGGCTGCTCTCTATAGTGTGGCGCATGTGTTATGATGTTCAAAATCGAGCAAACAGAACATCAAATTACGTGACTTGTCGACAACTGAAGCACTGTATCTAATGTCACTAGTGATGTCGGAGCATGTGAGCTCGGAAAGTAGTTAGGGCTCGGTAGTTCTATTGAAGACAAACAACTCACAAGTCCCATTTATTTCTCGTTATTCGACCAAACTTATTTAATATTCATTCAAGTATACGGAGATTTCGTTGGCAAGATGATCTAAGGGTCCAATGAGGAGAAGGTATCCTTGATGATATTTTAGAAGATTGAAGAATAAAGGCTCATTCAGCTGAGTCACTGGAGGGTTGTTTCCTATTTTTATTGAGTTTCCTAATTTGAATAGGTTTTCAATTTCAAGTTGGTTTCCTACTTTTCCATAGGTTTCCTTGTTAAGGTTTCCTAATTCCAATGTTTCTTAGTTTGAGATTTCCTAATTTTATATTTCCTAGGGTTTTTTTGGCTCACGCTATTTCCACCTCTTATAGAAATCCCTGTCACATTGAATTGACTAGGTTATCATTTGCGGGTCTCACTTTTGATTTAAGAAAATTTCTTACTTTTTTTCTTCTTTTTCTTGTGTTTCAATTTTATTAAAAGGCAAAACTGTCCACATCCTTATCAAACAACTTTTTTTAACCCGATCTGCTTCTTTCACACCCATTATATTTCAACTTTTCCTTGTTTGTCTTCTTGTAAACTTATTTTGCCAATTATTAGCTTTACGTCCCTAGATAATCCTCATGATCATGAATTATTTGACTTCGATTTTTGGTACAAATTTACTAGAATTTACTCAAAGATTGAATATTCTGGTTGATGATTGTATTATACAGAATTTGCTCATATTTCATTTTATTGTTTTTGTAGTGCAATCGCTATGGAAAATAGTATTAAAGAGGACTCAAATTGTCTAATGTATCTATTGATGATGAAACTGCGGATTGAGAACATCAATCAATCATGTCAACCTTTGAAATTATTCTTTGATATATATTTGTTTTAAGTGAATAATGACTCTCTTATTGACGTAATTGAAAAATTTTATTGTCCAATTCTAGTAAAATATTTTTTTGAGAGAGCAACCTTTTTTAAGGAGAGCCAAGCGGTTGAACAAACCATATCTTTAGTTTTTTTTTTGGTCATAATCCATATCTTTAGTTAAGTTGCATATGAACTTGCTATTATTGCAATACATTTGTACTTTGAGGATAATTTTCTTTTCACTATGATTCCATGAAAATTCTGATGTGTTTAGAATTGACAAAAATATATGTATTTGCAAATGATTTGAATGTGTTGCCTTATAATGCCATTACAATTGCCATAATTTTTTGTCAATAGTTAATTATACCATGCAATCAAGGCAAAGATAGTATTCTATGTAATAATAATGTATATTTATAATTTTTTATGTACTTAAGTTTGTCATATTTTTATTTTTTGAAAGTATCTTTTAAAACATCATGCAATGATGGCTTGAAAAAAATAAATAAAAAATTTGGATGATTAGATTCACTGAATAAAATGAAAGTCGAGTAGTTAAAATACAAAGACTATAATATAATGACACATATTAAAATTATAATTAAATGAAATGCATATTATAACTGGTCGATGGCCCTTGTCACTCTTACTTTTGCTATATTTTTCTAGAACAAAAAAAAGAGAAATATGTAACTCATTAACACAATATCTAGTTAGCTATCTACCAAATTTTTGGAAAAGAGGGACACTAATTTTGTTCCAAATGGAAAAAGAAAAGGAAAAAAGAAGAAAAGAATGCAAGAAATAATATCAAATCAAGAGCACAACATGCAAGGGATGATGTTTACTCAATTTAATGTGATAAGGGGTGTGTCAGGACCTTGAAAATAGCACAAGTCTTTTTTTTTGTCAAATTATATTTTCTAGTTGGGAAAATATCACCAAAAACCCCAAATTATGTCACTTGTGATAAATTTACACTAAATTTTTTTTGTGACATGAAAAATTCCAAACTATGCCATTTGTGACAAATTTACCTTGAACTGTTTTTTGTGACACTAAAAATCCAAAATTATACCCATTGTGACACATTTATCCCAAATTTTCTTATGTGACACAAAAAACCCTAAACTTGTACTCGTGTGACATATTTACCCCCACAATACTTTGGCCCAAGGGCATTTTGGTTTTTTTTCCTTTTTCTATTTTTTTTCCTTTCTTCTCCGGCGGAGGGAAGTCGACGAGGGCGTCCCTCGCCGGCATTGGAGTTGGGCGAGGGCTGCCCACGCCGGTGTCGGGCGAGAGTCGGCCTCGCCTGGGCAGGCGAGGGTAGCCTTTGCTTGAGTCCCTCGCCGGCGTCGGGCGAGGGCCACCCTTGCCCGATCTAGCGAGGGCGACCCTCGCCTGAGTCGGGCGAGGGCAGCCCTCACCCACCCAGGCAAGGGCCCCCCTCGCCCGACGCCAGCAAGGGCTGCCTTCGCTTGAGACGGGTGAGGGACTCAGGCGAGGGCGACTCTCGCCGGACGCTGGCGAGGGTCGCCTGACGCCAGAACCGGCGATGGCAGCCCTCGCCCCACTCCAATGCCAGCGAGGGCTGCTTAAAAATAAAGTTCAGGGTAAATTTATTACAAGTGGTATAGTTTGAGGTTTTTGGTAATATTTTCCCTTTTTTAGTTTAAGGTTTCCTATTTTTGTGTATCTTAGTTTAAGGTTTTTGGTTTAAGTCCCTCTATAAATAAGAGAACTCTCATTTGTATAAGAAAAGATTTGTGGGTTAATAATACATGAAATTTTCTCTCAAGTGAGTGATTCTTTCGGGTCTTTATCCAATTCGTTAGTGCTGAAACTATAAGTTCTTAAAAAAAAAAAAAAAAAAAAAAAGGAAACCTGTAAGTTCTTTATCTTGGTTATCAGTTTTTCTATCCCAAAGTTCTTTTTCCACGGACACATCAAACGCTCATCCAATCTAGCCACTCCTTGGGCACCCACCTTCTGGCACTTAATCCTCGGGGCTGCCGTCCTTGGTGGTGGTGGTGGTGACCCGAGGCCCCGTTCTGTGAGGTCGCAGAATTCTTGAAGAGGGGATTATACTGGCAAATGAGATATTTTGGGGCTTATAACGGGTTGGGCTTCCTTCCATGGCAAACTAATTTTTTGGGACGAGTTCTTCCACCAATTGTAACGCATCAACCAGCTGGTTGGGTCTTTCCCTTGCTATTAATGACTTGTTTAAGGCAGAACTGTATCAGAAGGCCTGCATACTTAATTGGAATTGGTTTGGACTCTGTTTGAATGATGACTTCCTGAAATAAGACAACAGGGGACTTCCCCTTCACAAGCTGATAAAAATTTCCTGGTGAATTAAATTATTTCAAAGTCTGTGAGGTTAAGTCCAAAGCAGGTCAACTCTACGTCACATGGAAAGGTATCAAATAATTGTGCAGATCAACGCGATCGATGTGATCGAGATTAAGTATGCAATGACTGATTAGAAAGAGCAAGAAGAGAGAGAGAGAGAGAGAGAGAGAGAGAGAGAGAGAGAGAGAATGATGATGATGGTGAAGGCTATATGGGAGACTGCAAAGGAAATTACGTTGCAGAGGATCATCATGTCATACCAGCTCCGTTCTGCAGCTCTTCTCATTCCAAATCAGTTGGATGGTCTGTGTGTGATCGTCACGGGCTCCACCAATGGCATTGGTTATCACACAGCCAGGTCTCTCTCTCTCTCTTTCTCTCTAACTCAGAGTTCTCCCGATTGTCGTGTGATTTCAAAATGAAGGGCCGCTATGATTCTGAAGCAAACCAATGATATTTGAATCAGAGGACGAAAAGGGGATCAACTGTAGTAAGAAACAGTAGCTTTTATGTTTCTTTAGAATGGAATCTCAACTTGAATGAACGAGGTAATGGAAAGGACTGTTGAGGAGGATATCTAATTGCCCGAAAAGGTTTGACTGATGTTTTCTGCAGAGAACTTGCTTTCGCCGGTGCATGTGTGATAATGGCTTGCCGGAGAGTTGATGCGGCAAAGAAGATTGCTGAAAGGTGGAAAGCAGACGCAAATAATAGCAAGACCCTGCATGTCGAGGTAAAATAGCAAAACTGTGAATCTTGACAGCTATGCAAGCAAGCATCCATGATCTGCATTTAACCACCTCATCACCAATGCCAATTTTCATCGCCCAAGTTTAGCACAGGCTTCATCATGGGTCCTGATAAATGAGTTAGATCAAACTGAGCAAAGCTTTCAGTTAATGAAGTTCTCTATACTGGCAAAAGACCTTAAAGTCAAATTTTAAAAGGGAGCATTTTGTCATGGACCTTCACTGAGGGTAGTTGTCTTCTTGACTGACCCTGGATGGTTTAAAGGACATTTGGACTGGACTTAGGATACTCTTCCAGACGTTTGAATCGTTGATTGTCTCTGACTCTAGCCATAATATGAGAAATGATCCAAATGCAGGTGATGGAACTGGACTTATTGTCCCTTAGCTCAGTCAGGCAATTCGCAGCTCAGTGGGATCAAAGTGGAAAGCCCCTTCATATTCTCATCAACAATGCCGGGATTCTTCTCCTGGGAGGTATAATTTCCTGCTGCTGTGTCGCATCATGTTCTCTTATACTTTTGCTCATCTACGTATGCGCTCAGTCAGTTCCTTCTATCATTGCATAGACTTAGAGCCAGATAAAAGACTCACGGAATGCATATTCTTCTTCCACTTTTTACTTTCGATGGCAGAGCCGACGCAATTTTCGGAGGATGGACTTGAGAAGCATATTCAAGTTAACCACATTGCGGCCTCGCTGCTCGCCCTTCTTCTGCTCCCTTCAATGCTCAAAGCCAACTCTGCTCGCATTGTTAACGTCAATTCCGTGGTAACTGTTGTCTCTGAGATAAGAAGATCGTTTTGGAACTTCAAAAGAATTACCTATGAAAAAAATCCAGATGGTTTGCTGAACTTATACTAAGCTTAGAGAAAACCTAGGGACATCACTGGGGAGTTGTGGAACCCGAGTCCTGGAAAGTGGGCGCCAAGGAAGAACGTAAGTTCAGCAGCATGACGTCCTATGGATCAAGCAAACTAGCCCAGGTATGTACGTAAACTTGAGTTTGGTCAAAAACAGAACAAAACAGTCCACTGTGAGGCAAAATTTTCCCCGCAACGTATTTTTCGACGTGCAGCTCATGTTTCTAAAGGCTCTAAGCACGAAGCTCGTAAGTATGGCAAAGACGTCGGTACTATGCGTAGCCGTGCACCCTGGAATCGTCGAATCAAACTTGGTAATCTGTCGACCCGGTTTATTAATCTTAGCTTTTTGTTCCACATGAAATTGTGGAATGACCAGGGTTGGCTTTTCGATGCTTTTTTGCAGCTGTCAGATGGCAGGATGAGAGCATTTTGGATGCTGGATCCTTCTGAAGGTAAATAAAACTTGTTTCCTATACTTACGATTATGGCATTATGCGCTTTAGGTCTCCTTTTTCTTCTTTTGCACGTGATTGAGTTCTCTTGCATAAAAATTACCTTTTCCGAGAATAGAAAATGTAGATCTAGCAGATTAGGGCTACTGAGATAAATCTAAGAGTCGGTTACTGATAGCTGAAAAATCAAAGAGGACATGAACCAGAGATTCAGTAGAAATAGCCGACCAAACACATGAAAATAGAGGAACAATTGTCAACACGAACGGATTGTCCGCCATCTGATCCTCTGCCTTCCTTTTAATGTTTGTTGGACGATAGATAATTCGGTTTTCTGGTAGAACAGAACAAAGTTACTCCGTTCATTTCTGTTCATTATGGAATCGAGTCGTAGACTGGTTAACCAGAAAAAGGATAGGGGGAACAAAAAGTTATCGACAGACACGGGCAGTTTTCTGCAGTATACTACAAGAAGAATAAAACATCTAATAGAACAGTGTAATCCTCGAGAAAGATGCGCATTTTTTTAGGTAATTTTCATTTGGCCACTGCTCAATAGCAACATAATATCTTGCTACATATTCTTGTTGGGTAGGGGCCAGAAACGTCCTATTTTGCTCTGTCGGAGCTGATGTACCGCGCAACACCACCGAGAACTTTGCATACTATAGCCAGTGTAAGCCAGGAAGGATGTCGGGCCTTGCAGATGATCCGAAGGAATGCTTGAGAGTTTGGGATGAAACACTGCGCATTTTGGGTTTCAGTCCCAACGACTATCTGTCTGAAATTATTGCAAGCAGAAGCTTCTCTTGACCACTCTCTGTATAATGATCTTTCTTCCCTTCCCTTATGTTGTGCGGAGACATGTTGGTTCAAGCTTTAGGTGTGAAAATAAGACGTTCAATATGGTGGGGGAATGAAAACTTGTACAGAGAATTGCAGCACAAGTATGATGTGTTGGGCCACTATTGACCTTAGAGACGTGGTGCTTAAAACTTCTCTTAATCACTCTCCGGTGATTTTTTCCTCTTCTTGCATTGTCTGCTGCCCCATGTAACTTCGGTCACATAATTTACCCATCGCCACTAAACAGAGAGTATTGTAGGCTATTCTACAAAGCTTAGAAATGGACCATTTTTCAACACTCATCCGTGATTAATTTTCGCGATACTCCGGGCATGCTTCGTAGCATCTCAAACTCGACTTGCAGTAGCGCTTTGGTAAATATGCCCGCGACCTAGTCGTCGATCTTGCGAGTGAGTTAATATGCGAGTGTGTGTGGGCTTTTTATGGCAAAGGAACAACAAAGACACAAAGGAATTCTTATTAGATTGCTAGTGCGTTACAAAGGCTTAGGGTGTGTTTTGGCGAAAGTATTTTTTCGGAAAGTGTTTTCCGGACTTTCATCCGTTTGATTCTCCGAAAATGATTTGGTCAACGGAAAATACTTTCCGATCAACACAAATATCATGTTTAATTTTAGAAAAGTGAATTCCCTAATCTAAGAAGGTGAAAACACTTTCCGGAATTGCATTTGTTAATATTTTTTCTTTTCCTTTCTTTTCTTTCTTTTTCTTTTCTTTCTAAGAAAGAAAACATTCATATATTTTCTTTTCTTAATAAAAATAATTTAAAAATGACAAATAATTTGAAATAATTTAAAAAATACAAAATTTTTGGATAATTTTCATTATCAGATTTTCCTTACCAAATAACTGAAAATACTTTCCAAGTCTTTTTTAGGTTTTAGTCAAATACCAAAAAATGAACTCATTTTCTTGGAAAATGATTTCCTGGAAAGTATTTTCCAGAAATGGTCCATTTTCTGCAAAACAAGCACACCCTAAGAGTGGATGAGCTTTCTTGGGGTTGGTATGTACTTCGAAGAATTGAACATTTGAACATATTTATAGCCCAATTAACTTCACCGACTTAAGCCACCAAATATCTCTGCCATTTGCAAAGATAATGGCTGGTGATTTTTCATCATGTTTTTACCATGAAGTGGGGGAGACATGTAGACTTCTATGGTACCGTAGGGACACCATGCCCTCGTCGTATTCCAACGTGAAGTGTTGTCAGCAACTAGATGATAAATCCTTTGTGATTTACGGCATTCTACGTTTTTGGGGGAAGAAACTTAACATCTCCTTAATGAAACGAGTCTAAAATAACAGTGATCGCAATTTATGACACTTTGTATTGGAAAAATATGAACTTATTCACTACAGCCTGTGACACAGTGCACAGTGGCCAGAGGCATAACAGAAAAACCGACATCTACGAACTGGGTAGATGGCCGAGACTTGTCAAGAGGAAAAAACAGTCAGCTTATCAGGGTGTCTAGTATTCATCTTGGGTATTCATCTTGAGTTTCATGCCTGTTCTACGATGTCGGATCAAATCTTCTTAGGAAATCGCATGTCCTGGTCTGGAAAAGGACATGGTGCTGAGATAGGAGAGGGAATTCAACGGAACACACGTTAAGAATCGGAGTTGTTGGAGATCCTGTCGTCACGGTAAGAAGGAAAGCAACTCCTGCGAATTCGTCAACATTGGCTTGGGCTCACGGAAAAGTCAGACTTTGGACATTCGTCAACTCCTGCGAATTAATAAACTTTCATCGAATATTTAATCATGTTTTTGTATTTTTTATTCTTTCACAAAATCAAGCCCTAACTATGGTCTTCATTTTTTTTTTATCGGTAGTGGTCCTTAAGATTTCAATACACATAAGAATATGCTGACTTACATTGCCGTGTATGCACAGGCTAGATCCAAAATAGCGAAACGAAACAGAAAATACAAAAAAAAAAATTAAAAAGAAACATAGGTAAGAGAGACTTGTGACACATTTACCCCAAATTTTCTTATGTGACACAAAAAACCCTAAATTTGTATTCGTGTGACACATTTACCCCCGCAATACTTTGGCCCAAGGGCATTTTGGTTTTTTTTCTTTTTCTATTTTTTTTTCCTTTCTTCTCTCTTCCCTGCGCCGGCCATGGCGGAGGGAAGCCAACGAGGGCAACCCTCGCCGGAATTGGAGCTGGTCGAGGGCTGCCCTCGCCGGTGTCGGGCGAGAGTCGCCCTCGCCTGGGCGGGCGAGGGTAACCTTCGCTTGAGTCCCTCGCCGGCGTCAGGCGATGTCACGCCCCGTACCCCACGAGGCGCGAGCATCCCATCTCCGGTCGTTTGTGATGCAACGCTCCCAGGATGCGTCGCCGACTCAACGCCCAATCAGAGATAAGTCACATGCGGAAACAACGTATATAAATATATATATATATACACCCGTACAAAACAACACACGTGAGACCAAGGTAGAACAGCCATCAAACAAGAATATACACTTGTACTGTTATAGTAAAATCTTTTTACACTATCCATTTGTACAACTCCAAAAACCTCAACATCAGTATTTAACTGCCACTATATCAAAAAGGGTAAGTGGCACAGGTGGTTAGGCTAACTAGGATATGAATGCTATTAAAAAAGAGACGGTCTTCGCTTCCCAAGGTACCGGCCTGCTCTAGGGCTCCCAGTCAGGGTCGAACGACTCGGTAGAATCATCTGGCAACTCCTTGGAGGCATCTTTACGGCTGGGGGTCTGAAAAGTTTCGGTTTACATAACCGTGAGATGAATCTCAGTGAGTTCAACCCCTAAACCTAGGCTAGGCTAGCATGCAATCTCCTGACCGGAAATAAATATTTGAAACCATAATGCAACAACAATCAAATAATTCTCTGACCCTGCAGGTTAGGCAGTTCAATATATAATAATCACGGCACGTATGTGGCACACATTATCACACGTACGCCAATCACATGCTCATGCACCGAGTCTCACACACTCGCATGCTAGTCCATGTATGTTCATGCATGCAAATGTCGTCGACATGTCATGTATATTTCCCGGCCCACTGGCTCACACTAGCACACTGGCAATCGCCCAATTTATTATTTATTACGACTCGAGTCAACAACATTCACGGCCCGGTGCGTCTAGCCTGCTTCAAAGTGCATGAGGCGCAGCAACCGATCTGGCCCAGTGTCTCTAGCCTGCTTCAAAGTGCATGAGGCGCAACACCGATCTCCTTACGAACCAGAACCTGCTTCAAAGTGCATGAGGATGGTCGTCTTCCGGACGTACCGGGCATCGTCCTGCTTCAAAGTACATGAGGACGGTATCGACCCGAAGGTCATGACCCGAAGGTCCTTAGGTGATCACACAATTCATTGTTATCTGAACCCAGCGTATGACGCTTCGGGGTATTTTAGGTGATCACACACTCATGGCAGGCACGCATTCTCGCACAATTCCACCACATGCCTCACTCTAGGCATACATAATGCGTGTCCATGTTATGCGATGCAATGCACCATGAGCACCAATGAAATTCAATCACTCAATATCACAACACGTGCTCAATTGGCCCAATTA